TCTTGGCTGCCCTGGACGGTGGTGAAGGGGATTCCTGCTTGTCATCGTCGTCGCTGTCTGAGACAACATGAGGTCTTTTGGCCTTCGTTGCCGGCTTCGCTGCCAGCTTGTCGAGCTTGGACGGTGGCAAAGGGGCTTGCCGACTATTCTCGTCGTCACTGTCGAACAAGTGCGAGGGGTCGGAGGCCTCCGTTGGTGCCAGGTTCTTGAGCAGCTTTGGTTTCGGTCGTGCAGGAGCCGACGCCGCGGCCTGCTGACCATCTTCCTCGTCGTCGCTGTCTATCAAGCGAGTGGGGGGAGGGCGGGAGGCCTTCTTTGGAGGCCCCAGCGGATTGAGAGGTTTCGGCTTTGGTCGTGCAGGAGCCGACGCCGCGGCCTGCTGACCATCTTCCTCGTCGTCACTGTCTATCAAGCGAGTGGGGGGAGGGCGGGAGGCCTTCTTTGGAGGCCCCAGCGGCTTGAGAGGTTTCGGCTTTGGTTGTGCAGGAGCAGCCGCCGCGGGCCGTGCAGGAGCTTCAGTCTGCTGGGCCACGGTAAACGCGGAACGAGTCTGAGGCCGCCTCCCACCGCCTACTTGGGCTGACGACCGAGCAGACTTCGTGTTACCGTCGTCGTCGTCGTCGTCCTCTTCCTCCTCCTCCTCCTCTTCATCTCCCCCACTTCTGTCTTCCTCGCTGTCGCTCGAAGACTCTGCCTCCACCTCTGCAGTTGTTGACCTCCCTCGCTTACGCGGTTTGGACTTGGAGGCTTTACGTTTTGCCTTGCCTTTCGCGAGCTTCTCTTCCTTCTCTTTCTCGATTTCTACGAGTTCTGCACCTGGCACGGGATGCGTCGCAGTTGGAGTGACTGGATTGGGGTTTTCGATGAGATCGTATGCCATTCGCCAGATCTCTCCAGCTCCGTTGACGTTCTCCAAGGCAACACCACGTGACGTCCGCCAATGTTTCAGCGAAGTTGCCTTGGAGGCACCTGGAGGCGGCGGCAAGGTTCCATACTCGTGTCGGACAATCACCACTGATTCTGTAGATACATGTCAGAAGCTAGTTTATGAATAGAATGCACAAATAACTTACCAGATCTCAATGGACCAGGCATTTTCTCGACGTGGAAGCCAATCGTTGGATCATCGTCGGTGCGTAGGTCCATTGCGCCATGTAAGGCGGTACAGTCGCGTTTGCTCAAGGCTGAAATCGCCTTGGCAGGGTCGCATTCGACAGGCAGCAGAGCCAGCGTGGGATATCCGACAATTCGATACCCGCCGGGGTACATCAGGCCGGGAAGCACAGTCCATGCAAAATTATTGTGGCCCAGCTCTGTGAAGATATCGATTCCAACGTCGGCCCTGCTCACAGCAGAGAGCCTTGTCCGAAGAATTCGGATCGCCTCGGTCCCAGCACGCCCAGTCTCCCTACGTGCCGCCTTTTGCTTGTTGCCCTTGGCCACGACCACGGCCTTGGTACTTTCTGACGTCTGCTTGTTGCCCTTAGCCACGACCACGGCCTTGGTACTTTCTAACGTCTGCATGGGCTTCTTCCCCTTGATATCGGCTGTCGACGTATTTGGGAGGCCGGAGCCGGAGCCGGAGCCGGAGGCAGCCGTAGGCGGAGGGGCATGTGCGACCCCCAACGCAGCTCGGAACGCCTCGATTAAGAACACGTACCCTCCGTTTCCAATCTGCTACTAAGCGATTGAAGGTCGCTCTTCGTCCTTGATGTGTTTCTTGCCCAACCGAATTGAGTGCATCGTAGTTTTGAAGAATTTCCGACGCGGCCTTCTCCCCATAATGCTCACGGAACGCGTGGTAGGCACGTTTGACCACATCACGACCAATCTCATCGGCAGAGCTAGACGCGGAGGCGTTAGAAAAGCTAGGGTCGATACGCTTCATCTCGTTTTCGAGGTGGTCGGGATCAGCGAAGAAAGTCTGATAGATGTTCCATTTATTCGAGGAACGGGAGGGGCTGGCCGTAAGCCGATTGAAGACCAAATCTTGCATACGGTCAGTGTCAAAGCCAGCCTTTGCAGCCGCGGTCTCCAGCACACCAACCACCTCCTGTACAGCGTTTTCGATGACATCGAGCTGGTCCTTGGTAAACGGCCCCCTTCTTTTGGGGACACTCGAGACCTCCGGCACAGGAGAGAGGCGCTTAGTGTGAGCCTTCGTCCATGCATCAGGAGGCGGTGGGAGGGGGATGGAGTCGAATTGACCCTGTTCGCGGAACTCATCTATCGTCCCGTGAAAGTTTTGGGGCGTAATGGGTTGGAAAATCGGCTTTGAAACGGGGGTATGGGGGGCGGTGGGCGGTGCAGATCCACTACGCGATGCATTTGGTCGATGTTCATCAGACCCAAGAGGAACCGAACCTCCCCGCGCTTTAAATGGGGGTTGTCGAGGTTCTTCGACAGCAGTCGCCCGCTCCGCAGAAACCGGTAGTGTGGTTGCGGGAAGTAGCAAGGGTGGACGAGAGGCCTTGGGCTGTCGTGGCTTCTTGGGCTTGGTGGGGGAGATTAGAGCGGGATCGACACAGTCCGCCCCCTCGTCTTGCACTCGATGACGGCGGGCATCTGTTGCAGCAACCATGTCCCGACTTGACGCGCCGCGTATCGAGAGCGGTATAGTCGTTCGCAGGCGAGTGTGGCGTTGGTCTGCCTCCGGAACGGGAGGCGGGTCACCTCGACCACCTCCTTCTTGACGCTCATCACGCTCCGCCTCCTGAGACGACCCATCACCCTCCTCCAAGGTTTCACCCGATTTGCTGGCGACGGGATCTTGGGTGAACGGAAAGCCAGCCAGTGGAAGGGGCTGCTTCTGCGATCGATAGAAAGCTGGGGCACGCTCGCCTTCAATGGTGGTGATTATGGGGAGGCTGACATCGGCATCGGTGTTAGTGTCGTATCTGCTGTTTTCGAAGTAGTAGTTGTTGTTGTGGCTTCCGTCGGCCTGTAGTTCTGGCATCTGAAAGTTCAGATCCGATCGAAAAGACAGGGAGGGGTAGCGCCGCGGAGCTCGGAGAGAATCAGTTGCAAAAAAGCTGTCAGAGAATTGTGTATAGTCCTCGCTTCCAAAGGTAATGTCGCCGTCCAGAGACTGCGAGTTGTCCAGAGACTGCGAGTTGGCATTTTCAGAGCATTCACTGAGTGGACTACGTTCAGACGTTGGACGGTCCATCTTTGGTGCAGTATATCTATCGTAAAATTGAGAAGCAGGGAGCGTGATCGAGGAAAAAACCTACAATCAAAACGGTCGAAGTACGAGATAAAATCAGTGCAAGACGAGGTTTATACAAGAGCTAGAGAGAGTCAGCTGGATATTTGAGCGCAAGATATAGTACTCACAGCAAGAGATAGTCGCGAAGCAAGAAATTTACAAAGTGGCCAGAGTTTTGCGGGAGGCGGTTGTTGTCAGAATGGAGCCAATGGCTGTCGAAGTGCAAGAACTGGAGTGGGAGACTGAGCTGCGTAACGAGGGCGGGAGACTAAGCTGCGTGTGGCGTAGCAGAGTCCTTTGGTGCTGTGATGATTCGAGGGCGCCACAAGTTTTTTTTTCCGCGAGGAGTCGTTCGGTGGCGTGACTGAACGCCACAAGATGAGTAAACAACAAGCGTCCAGAGAGGGGAATACTCACAGCAAGATGAAGGTAAGACTAAGCTGCGCGTGGCGTAAAGGCGCCAGAAGTTTTTTTTTTTCGCGAGGAGTCGTTCGGTCGCGAGGAGTCGTTCGGTGGCGTGAATGAAGGCTGCAAGAAAGTGTTTACTGTGGGGGATAAGTAGAAGATGAGTAATTAACAACCATCCAGAGAGGGGACTACTCACAGCAAGATGAAGGTAAGGTCGTCGTTGAAGGGAAGGAAGAAGGAGGAGGGGCACGTGCGGCTACACAGTAGCCATTGACTCTGTGAGACGCGGGGTTAAAAGGCATTAGACTTCCGCAGCCGCCTGCTGGGGGTGCCAGCAGGCGGCATTCGAAGGCGTCGTCGTCAAAAAGAGGCAATGGTCACAAGCGTCACATTGCCTCGATGCACCTCCACAGTAAGTTTCGCATCACAATGATTGTGCGCGTTTGAGACCGTTTCTCCACATCTTCTCATGAAATCTACACTATAGAGCTCTGGAAAGGCGCCCGAAGATGCCTAGCCCCACCAGCCCCGTCGCATGGTGACTGTCATTCCGTTAAATCAAAGGTCATACCAATTGACAATCCTTAGTGTGACCGTATTCCAGCTCAATTTCGGTTCTGACCACCGTCATGGGTCGCCACAAAAAATACAACACAACGGAAGAACGGAACTCAGCATCCCAGAAGTACAATAAGCAATACAACTCAAGCTCTAGGTAGATTCTACGACATTATTTGGTCTAAATGGTAGCTCACCCCGAATCACAGAGGGAAACTGATGCGCGCTCAGCACAATGCCTCCCGCACTAGCCGCCGACGCCGTAGCAAAGTCTGCTATACGCGGAATACGAGCACTCAGCTATAAAATCGAAGCTTTACGCACGCCGGGCACTGCCTGAGTCCCGGCCTCTCTTCCGCCTCGGCTTCCAATTGGCATTCAGCATTGAAAAACTACCAGTTGCTCGATGGATGCAAGAACCACCATTCGCCACAAGCACTCAGCCTTGTGAATACGACAGCTTGGACGTCACCTCCCTCTCTGAGCTCCTGCATGGTGTGCGCAGTCGGCTAGAAATCGTCCAGGACCGTGTTTTTCTGGGTCTCTCCAATTACGGGGAGCGTGGACTGATGGATGGGTTGCGATCCGAGATACAGAGGCGATTGGAGGTTTGGAAGCGAGCTCTTAGTCTTCATTACGATCCGGCAGAACATCCTTATGAGGCCCTTATGTTGCAAGACTTTCTCCATTGGGAGGCCCGTAATATCTACCGCTTGTACTATCAACATTTCAAGATCTAAACAAATACTTTTGCCTCTGACCACCTCCCCTCCGATGCCTCTGACCTCCTCTCGCCTCTTCTCTCGCCTCTGACCACCTCTTCTTTCTACCTCTGACCGCCTCTTTTCGTACGCACATATCGAGGGAATGTGTAGATCAACCGAGTAAGTAATGTCCGAATGTGTGGTATGTCACGCTCAGCAATATTCACGGCCGAATATCCACGAAGAATTGCAGTGAGCATGCATAACACCCAGACACCACAATCATGGCTATTGCTTTGCTGAGGCATATTCTAAAATTAATCAGAATTAGTGCATAAAGCTGGTTAGAAGATCTCTTACCACTTGAAACAAAGGATGTGCAGACCATGGTATAGTTGCCTCCTTTGTGTTGATATGGTGACCATGAGCAGTAGCAAGAGCAAACATGTGGGAGAGAAGAGTTGAAATATCCTAGAGGCCTAAGCAGCTGGAAATAAGTAAATAATAACATACCTTGAAGTCAGCCTCCCAGCCCTCCACTTCTGCAAAACTGTCATAGAAGAAGACCAACTTCTCTTCAACTGATACTACAGCTAAGACCCAGTGCTGCTGTGAACGTCGATGCACAGGAATCAGCCACAAGGGCTTGCACCAATATTCGGTTGGAGCCAAATGGTGCCAAAGGACAGCGTCATCAGAACCATATTGAACCCGATGGAGGTCCAAGGTGTCGAGCAACGCACTGCGAGAAAGGTCCTCTGGTGTAAGGAGCGTTTTCATGATGGCTGTTGCAACTCCGTTAATACAGAAGTTGTTCAACCACTGCGTAGGCCCTTTGAGGCGAGCGAGGTCTTCAACATCTATAAGTTGCTTTCGGCCATGGATATCAATGATGACCCGTGTTTCATGGAGGGAAGGGGAGTGTTCTTGAGAGGAAAGGTACTGTTCAATAGCATGAACGAAGGTGGTGTCAACCTGCATTGGAGGCTAAAAGAGGTGAAATGAGGTCAGATGGAGGCATCCTAACTGGCAAAAGAAGCATACCACAGAGGATTTCATTTGAATCTCAAAGTTTCCTAGTTGGAGAAGATCTGTAGTACCTTCTTCATCATTGCCATCTAAGACCTCCTGGAAGATGTCAACTGATTCAGAGGGTTCTTCAGGCTCAATAGTTGACAAATCCTGCTCATCAGCATTGAATACCTCAAGTGAAGCACCCTCTGAATCAAGTAACTCCTCTGACTCTTCTAACTGGTGCCTCTCAGAGCCTCCCAGGGCTGCTGAAGGGTGCCTCTCAGAGCCTCCCAGGGCTGAAGGGTGCCTCTCAGAGCCTCCCAGGGTTGAAGGTGTTGCCAAGTTAGCAGAGGAAGCTATGGCCAATGATCCACTGCGAATGCCTCTAGACCAAGCAGCTTGAAGGCTGGATATATACCCAAGCCTTTCACGGAGTGGGAGGTCCAAGGTTGGATCTGGTAGGTGTCAGTAGGTAGAGAACAGATGACAATCTACAAGCCATACCGGTATTTCTCCGAACTGCCAGAGTTGCAATATTCAACTCTTTCTCAACCCAAAGCTGCATATTAGCAGATTCTAATTGGAGTCGCAAACCCTCCTCTTCGCACCGATCAACAATGTGAAGATTGCGAATACCTTGCCGAACGTCCTCATCCTCAAGCCATCGTGGTGGCCGACCCTCGGTAGGAGTTGTCCAGATGTCTTCATGTAGTGAGGAGTCTTCTCGGAGCGCAGCAAGAGTCGTTGGCAGTGGGCGTGGAACAGCAATCTGACAGTCAGGAGGCCTGAGAATCTCAAACTCAGAGCAGTAGGCGTTGAACTTTTTAAGTGCTTTGAGGAGAGCAGGTTGACGTTTTGTAATAGTTGACCGTGTTGCTTGATATAGCTTCGTTCCTAATGACAGTTAGAAAATAAGTAGATAGATAGATTTGAAGCATACCCAATGGTTCCCGTCGGCCTGATACCGCCTGATCAAGTGTTTCCCACTCCTGAAATGAGCCAATTGCCCTTTTGCGAATATTGATCTTCAGATCACGCATAGTAACAAGAAGTCGTGCAAGCTCTGGAGGTACCCCTTCTAGAGCAGGATAGATGTTATGAATGTTGAGCGATGAATATAAAGCTTCAGCCTGTTTTTCTAGGTCAGCATGAGTCGCCTCCAATTCACGAAGGTGGCGATAGGAGTCGGCGGAGGCGGTCTGATCTGAAATTGACTGCCGAACATCTACAAGCGATTTTTCGATAGCATCGATTTGGGCTTGCAGTGCAACAACCCTGTCAAGATCCTGACGTAAGCGCTTTGGAGCATCTAAATTGAGTTAGCACTGTTGATGACTATAGTCGCCTACTTACGCCTACGGCCAGATATTTGTGTGGCCTTCTGAGCCATCCATTCCTCCCGCAATTCAGGAACAGGGACACCACATCTGCGTAGAAGGCTCAACGCATCATGATACCGACGCTGGACATTCTTCGATTGTTGCCGAAGGACCCAATCTCCCAGTCTATAAAAACCGTCTGTGTTGACGAAGTTGATATACTGGTCTATTGTCCAGATTCGGCGTGAGTTCTAAATTTATATAATCATAAGATTGGAATTGAGATTTCAACAAAAACTCACCCATTGTCCACGTGTAATTGGAATCAGCCTCCGAATACGAGACCATAGCCTTTCGACAGATTCATGGTCAGTCAAGCCCATTCCACGAACCATCCGGGGATTGTACTGGAGCTGGCATCGCCACTCGTGGCCATACGCATGCATAGCGTTGAGAACAAACATAATGCGTTCTCGAACACCTGCCCCCAGAATATCAAACTAAACAAAGGAATATCAATATCAAAAGTGGTGAAGAAGTTTAAATAACCAACTAGATACTGGCTACGGTCAATAACACAGCCAACGTCATAAGCTTGGGAGATAGTGGCATTGGGAGGCAGCAGTTGAAGCACTTCCTCAAGAAGGGCAATGATATAGTAGTGTTGCTCTCCTGGGGTGTCAATGTTGCAGCAGAAAAGTGTCTGACCATGACGACAGACTAGGGCGAAGATGCCACTCGCATCATATCGCTTGGGATCGACGATTTTCTTCTTCTCATTGGCAGCTGTCCAATTCTCGGAACAGCTGTCATCCAGTGTTTGCGTTGGCCTCCTTCGCTTGGCCTCGTCTACCCGCCGTCGCACCTGGTCAACCTTTCCTTTGGAGACAAAGTGACGTGGGGTATAACCAATTGGGCCGTCACCCGCGGAACGGAGGTGCCGATAACTGAAACATGCATCACCCCCAAGCTGGACATCGCCACCACTAGGATATATCAGGACAGAGGCATAATACAAGTGCTTGACAACGTACCTGGAAAGTGGCCGGCCCCAAACAACCCCACCAAAAACACAATGGACAGCGCTCTCGAAGAGTCCGATGTGCATGGGAGGCTGGTGCAGCAGTGGCGGCGTTGGCAAACGCGGGAGTGGCGGCAGCGTTGGCAGACGGAGCAGATGCGGGGGTGGCGGTGGAGGCAGATGCGGAGGTGGCGGCCGCGTTGGCGGCGTTGGCAGCAGACGCGGCAGATGCGGGGGTGGCGGTGGAGGCAGATGTGGAGGTGGCGGCGACGTTGGGGGCGGCGGCGGAGGCGGCGGAGGCAGCGGAGGCAGATGCGGAGGTGGCGGCGGAGGCCTCGACAGCAGCGAGAGCTGCATCAACCCTAAGTGCGATGTGGTCGCGCAGGTTGCTCGACCAAAGGACTGCCTGCGTGAGGCTCCGACGAAAGGGATCTGATGCCTTGGCACCACTTCGCTACTTGGGTTGAGCATCAAGATATAGCATTCAACTTGAAAGACTCACCCCTGTGGATGAGACGTCATAACCACGCCGCTCATACACTGTTTGAAGTGCATGTGCAAGTGCCGTGATCGCGTCGCAAGATCGCTCGAACAGCGCCTTGTAAAGCTCCAAGAGGTCGATGGAGACCCCGATTCGCGGCTTCTGAGGCGACGAGGGAAAAACCCCATTTTCGACTAGGAGGACGGCAAGTGGCTTGCAGCTGCACGTCGAGACAAAGACCTTTTGTAAATCTGGAGGATAATCAGCAAAATAAAAGGTTAGAGTTCAAGGAAAGCGTACGCGTAGGGTATAGGCAGTCGACTGACTTGTTGACATAAGTATTGCATGAATTCTGGCATGGGTGGTGGAGGGACGGAGGAATGTGCGATGGTGGAGAGGCGTGAGTAGTCCGCTTGAAGTGGGCCCATGGAGCTTCCAGCAGAGGAAGGAGATTCCCCCAAGCATCCGCCAAGTTGTAACGAGAGATTACGACTCGGCGAGGGGGTGGGGGAACGTACACCGGCTCTGGGGGTGGTATCGGGAGGCTGTCGTCGGCCATCTCATCCACCCACTCATCATCCCCAGTGCCCTCGGTAGCACTTCCGAGTGCTTGCGCCGGCCCAGAAGTACTGCCACCGTCAAGCAGACGCGTTAGCTGCGATGCAAGGGCCGCACGACGCGGCGGCTTGACTTTTAGTAGGTCGGATGAGGCGCTTCATACGCCCGTCGCGTGCCTTGAGGGGACTGAGGTGATATACCCCAGCTCCAGAGGTGCTTGGCCGCTCATGTCGATTGGACGCACGACGGCCAGGGCGTGCGCTATTCGCCACCATGGAGGTCGGGACGGAAGACGAAGACTGATCGGCAATCCAAAACCAGAACGCCGATAATGATGTCATTGACGCCTTCTTGGTGGCGGACCACTTAGGTACATCGTTTACATACACAATAATGTACCTAACAGGTCTGACGTTTGACAGATCATAGGTGCCTGGGGTGATTGATGCAGGCGCAGACACTACCCGATCGCAGGCTGGTCACAGCCCAATCGTTGCTTTATCATGTCAACCACCTCAAGCACACCCACAGTTGATCTCACTGGCTATTCCCACATTATGACTGCCTGCTCTCGTGGGGCTTGGCTTGCCGAGCGCGCAGAGAAATCTCCCAATTTCGACCCGGGTTTGTTACTTGTATGAGATGATGACCTTTGCTCCTAACCGGTACTCTCTATGTAGACAACACCGAAACATTCATGTTCATTGGGAATGCAAGAAATGGCCGTGTTGAAATCGTGACAGCGGAGCTTAACACCCGCGTCATGGCAGCAAAGAGCGTCTGCAGCAACACTGGCGGCGATATCCGCAAAGAAATCGACCTCATCCTTGCTCTGCCATCTCACCGCAACATTGTGACCCATTTCGGTGCCCAAAGAGTCATTTCTGCTAACCTTTGGCTAATACGTTCCCAGCGAAGAGCACCCCGAGACAGATTTTTTACCCGACTTGGATCTTCATGGAGTTCGTGGGAGGGGGAACGATTGTCGACCTCAGCAAAGCGCTGGGTGGTATCACAGAAAATGAAGCCAGCGTGATAGTCTTCCAAATTCTCTCCGGTCTCAACCATCTCCACGAGAACCACGTCGTTCACCGAGATATGAAGGGCAGCAACGTCCTGATCTCCTTCACTGGTTGCGTCAAAATTATCGGTCTGTGTGGACCGAAACCCATGTGTGAGTGCAGCCATGGAGCCATTTCTCTCGATGACAGCATTCACAGCAGTGGGCGATGAGCATTACCTCGTTCGCAGTGCACCTTTTGTGGCGCCAGAGATCTTACTCGGGACTACGCTCTATGGCCCCGAAGTGGACATCTGGAGTACTGGGGCGGTTATCATCGAGCTACTTGAAGGAGGCCATCCATGGGAAGACTCCTTGATACTCGACATTTTCACACAGGTATTTCTCCCTCTCGTCGCACCAACATGCACACTGATGAAAACAGGCCTCCGCATACCAATGGCCGCGGCCCAAATCAATGTCAGCGCGACTTGAGGCCTTGCTTGGCAACTGTATTTTCAGGGACCAAAAGGAGCGCTTGCCGGCGGCCACTCTGTTGAAAGACTGCTGGTTTGACTTCGCGTACGTCTTTTATCTTGCAGGCGGTCAGTCGTTTATTTGTGGCAGGAACAAGATGGTATCGGGACATGGGGCAGTTTAGAACACTGGCAGGAGGCAGCTCGTCCAGGAAGAGTAGCACCTGGCTACTAGCGAATCGATATTCACGGGGCAGACACTACATAAATGTTTTCTCATTCGACTTGGGTTCTGATAGCCCCCTCAGCGGACGCCGGCCGCCTGGCCGCGCTACTGTGTTATAAATGGATTTGAATATCTGGGTGATACGTGTTTGTTGTGGGTCCAAAAGGGAGAGCTGCGTGGATGGAAACTCAGTTAAGAAGCACTTTTATTTGTCGCACGCAGTGTTGGCCAAATGTTTTGGTCACACGCTACCAACCTACCAACACAGGACCCCTGATTATCCCCCAAGAGGTAGGATTCTGAAATCGGTGAAATGAAAAATTTGTCCGCGTTTTTTGGACGCCAAACGCATATCGTTTTGTCCGGATTTTGATCCGACCTACCCCGAAGGTGCAAAATTTGTCCGGATTCGCATCCGACCTTGACAAAAAGCGCTAAATTAGCGAAAGTTAGCCGAGAAAAGGTGGAATTATAGCTAAAGAACAGTTTTTCAGGCTCTGATAGCCGTTATGTGCCACCTGATTTTTTCTTAAATGTGGTCTATTTCAATGTGAATTGCCCACCAAACTGACCTAACTGAGGAAAATTTGTCCGGACTTGGTTCCGACCTGTCTAAGGGTAAAATCTCTTGTCCGGACTTTGGTTCTAACTTTTTTGGCTCCAACCCGATTTTTGTCCGGATTCTGGTCAAACCTAGGTTGAAATTTTCCAAAATCTGTCCGGATTTTGGTATCCTACCTCTTGGGGCATAATCAGGGGTCCTACCAACACTACGCGTGACGTCACAATATTTCATTTTCATACCAACTTCCATGCGTGTCCATATTTTCGAGTCAAGAGGGATCCCGCAAGGCGTTCCGTACGAACATTTGACCACTGGGTCCGCAGACGCAGACATTCTTCTCACGGATCTCCTCAAGAATACCCATCTACAACCCTCCCAACATAGCATCGCGGCGTTTCAGCATAAGCAATTCGACTTTACATGGCAGTGGTCAACCAAGAGTGTAGCCCAGATCACGGGGCCACTGGACAATCATTCGGGAACCGGGCTGGAACTGTTGCTCATGCCACTGCGCCGTTGGGTCCCAAGTGATGTCCCAGATGACGTTATGCTCTTCATTGTGCTCTCAGCCCCGGAGACCCCCATCGAGCGACGCATTGCCTTTGCCCCAACTCCCAGCCAAAGAGCTAACAAGCAATCTCTGATCTTCGAATGCCAACAAGACGAACAACTGCGATTACTAAATGGCACTTGGGTGCCTCTCGATGCGGAGGAGACGACCATTGACTCAAGGTTCGACTGTCTTCCCGCAGTCTTCTATCACGAGGCCTTTCTCAATTATGCAATGAAACTCGACGAGCTGCACAGTTTGAGTGAGGGTGAACTGAACGATAAACTTAGAGAAGTAGAATCATTAAGCAATAAGCCCCATATGGTGAGCCGCTCTTCAGTCAACCACACTGTTATCTTACTTCTGTGGATAGACGCTTCAAGAAGCAGAGACACTCCTCACCGCCCTCACTTGCACATACCTAGACGAGGTGCAGATGCAAGCAGCTCTCCAACCTCTCGTACGACGTTACTTTGGACCAAAGATACTTCCCATCGACACCAAAACGAATCTCAAAATGTCCATTTCCGAAGCCTTAGATGCCGATGTTGATGACATTGGGCGCGTCAATGGGCATCTGATCGTCAAGGTCGATGAATACAAGACACGTGCTGTGCCATCGCTGCAGGGCGTTCTGGGCTCTCAAAAACATAGCGTTGAACCAGTCTGTCTTTTCTCTCCTGCCTGTCAAAGGACAGTTCTGATGACTGCGCAGATTCTCTTAGAGCAAGAGTGGGCGAAAGAGTACCCGACGGCGTTTCTCCGCAAATTCTATCCCATTCTCGTTACTAGTTACCATGGCTCGAATATTACTCCCTTGATCAGCCTCCGGAAGGGAGACCAGTGGTTTTCTCATCCCCTCGGCCACTCATTTGATCCGCTCAAGTATGGTTTCTCAAGTATCAAGCGCAACGACACTGTCCTAAAGCGTCTGGCTCTTTTTTTTGGCTACTGTTACTTGTTGTGCCTAGACATCGAGAAGATTTGCTCCGCAGAGACGACACCGCCACCCGTAGCACCGCAGATCTTCCCTGCAGATCATGATGATGGAGGCTTCCTCTCTCATTCGAATGTCCCTGATCCAAAGGTGCCACAGATCATGATTGCAGATTGGACACGCAACAACTCCTCATCTGACAATCGAACATTGACAGTGGTTCTCAAATTCGTTTCTTCTCGATATGGCACCAAAGCACATATGTTAGCCCAAGGACTGGGGCTTGCTCCAGCCCTGATCCATTTTGGTCCTGTCCCAGGCTCATTAGGTTATCATGTGGTGGTTATGGAGTATGTCTCCGGCATTGCCCCAGACAAACGACACGTGACGGCACTCGAAAACGCAATCAAGCAGCTAGATGAAAACCAGCTTGTCCACGGTGACTTACGCCTACCAAACATCATCTTCCTTGAGGATGGCAGTCTGAAGATTATCGACTGGGACTGGGCAACAGCAGCCGATGAACCATCAATCAAATACCCCGATAACCTCGATACAACCCAGGAATTTTGGGTAGGCAAGGCTGGCAAGACCATCACCGCGGAGGATGATATCAACATGTTGAAGGGTCTAGTAGAGAAACTCGGAGGGAGCAAAAGACGAGCAGAGGAAGAAGCAGGTCCAGACAAGGTCAAGCGTATGCAAACTGTTGCTTGAGTTGTATTTTCCCCCCAATTTTGAGTCCTTTGAATCCAATCATCTAACGCAGCTTCCACCGTGCAGTGAAATTCACGGCTGCAACATGGCAATCCAGATTGGGGCGGATCGGCAACTTGTCTGGGACGGGGGGTTGAGCGACGGTGAGCCGTGGGCTGATCTAAAATGACTGACTTGCTCACTTTCCGTCTAGCATAAGAGCTGTGCCCGTTCATTATTCCTCGTTCATCAACGGCGATGGTAACAAGTCCAGTGGAGCGCGAGACGAAGTCTGTGGTCAGAGACAACTTCAAGTTGAAGCCGCGTTGACCCACGAACTTTTAAAACACTGTCCCGGCCTGTCCGAGTCTTATTAGTTGGTCTTACAAAATCTGACCAAGCAGATCTGACGCCATGCGGACACACAACTCGAAACGAGCTCTCCAACGACAACTGTGACTACAACTGTGCAACACTAAACGGAGCCCGCTCAATCACCTGGGGCTAGAGGAGGAAATGCATTGTATTCGAAGTTTGTTACTGCTTACAAAGAACATCAACCCCCGAGTTCCCCAAGTTATCGCGACCCATACCTAATGGAGAGCCGGAGGATCAAGGCTCAAACCGGCTCCAAAGGATCCTCAAAGCGCTGCTTCGCCGTCTCTTTCCCGCAGGGACGCCAGAACTGGACCGGTATAAATGACTTGCCCTCACAAGCATCCTATTTCCTTCGCCTTTATCGACAACCTGGCGGCACTGTCCAAAAAGACATTCCCACTATTCGTGCTTTGACCGCCGAGCTGATCAACGTCTTCGAGGACTTTTTCGTCGATTTCTTTGAACCGCGCATCAAGGTACTGTAACGCATCGACCTTGGGACCAGGCGGATGGAAGGGCGAGGGCGGTGGGGTACTAGTAGATGTCTGCTCCGTGACCGTCGATTCGCTAGTCAGTAGCCAAGATGCTACTCTCCTTGACGAGCTGCCTCCTCCACATCCTGTTCTAAACTGCCCCAAGTCCTGATACCATCTTGTTCCTGCAACAGATAAACGACTGATCCGCCTGCAAGAGAGAAGACGTACGCGAAGTCAAACCAGCAGTCTTTCAACAGAGTGGCCGCCGGCAAGCGCTCCTTTTGGTCCCTGAAAATACAGTTGCCAAGCAAGGCCTCAAGTCGCGCTGACATTGATTTGGGCCGCGGCCATTGGTATGCGGAGGCCTGTTTTCATCAGTGTGCATGTTGGTGCGACGAGAGGGAGAAATACCTGTGTGAAAATGTCGAGTATCAAGGAGTCTTCCCATGGATGGCCTCCTTCAAGTAGCTCGATGATAACCGCCCCAGTACTCCAGATGTCCACTTCGGGGCCATAGAGCGTAGTCCCGAGTAAGATCTCTGGCGCCACAAAAGGTGCACTGCGAACGAGGTAATGCTCATCGCCCACTGCTGTGAATGCTGTCATCGAGAGAAATGGCTCCATGGCTGCACTCACACATGGGTTTCGGTCCACACAGACCGATAATTTTGACGCAACCAGTGAAGGAGATCAGGACGTTGCTGCCCTTCATATCTCGGTGAACGACGTGGTTCTCGTGGAGATGGTTGAGACCGGAGAGAATTTGGAAGACTATCACGCTGGCTTCATTTTCTGTGATACCACCCAGCGCCTTGCTGAGGTCGACAATCGTTCCCCCTCCCACGAACTCCATGAAGATCCGAGGCGGGTAAAAAATCTCTCTCGGGGTGCTCTTCGCTGGGAACGGATTAGCCAAAGGTTAGCAGAAATGACTCGTTGGGCACCGAAATGGGTCACAATGTTGCGGTGAGATGGCAGAGCAAGGATGAGGTCGATTTCTTTGCGGATATCGCCGCCAGTGTTGCTGCAGACGCTCTTTGCTGCCATGACGCGGGTGTTAAGCTCCGCTGTCACGATTTTAACATGGCCATTTCTTGCATTCCCAATGAACCTGAATGTTTCGGTGTTGTCTACATAGAGAGTACCGGTTAGGAGCAAAGGTCAAGAACTCATCTCGATTCTCATGCAAGTAACAAACCCGGGTCGAAATTGGGAGATTTCTCTGCACGCTCGGCTAGCCAAGCCCCACGAGAGCAGGCAGTCATAATGTGGGAATAGCCAGTGAGATCAACTGTGGGTGTACTTGAGGTGGTTGCCATGATGAAGCAACGATTGGGCTGTGACCAGCCTGCGATCGGGTAGTGTCTGCGCCTGCATCTCCTAGGTCAAGATACTTGCGCACGACGAGGTGTAGGTGGGTGTAAAGTCAAAAGGAAAGAAATCCAATCGAAGACTGTAAGTTCAAGACAACTTTCACGACGCGTAGTCACGTGTACGCTTACCTTTCCTCAAAGTGGGGACCCGCACATCACTATTGATGATGGCCTGATCATCACTAGCATAGCCACCGAAATCGTGTCCGGACCTCAAACTGAGTCAAACAACCCGAAATTGAGCATTATTTTGCAGGCTGAGGCATCGAGATAGCAGCAGAATAGTTCGATTATACTTAGATACAACAAAAATGGAAAATACTTGATAGATTAATGTGTATTACAACTCCGCCTCTTCCATCTCTATATCTTCCTCGTCTTCTGCCTCGAGAATCTGTCCAGAGTTTGCTGGGGGCTGTGTCTTGAGACTAGACCCATATGAGAGACCCAGCTCCTCTATCCTGGTGGCATAAGTGACTAAGCACTGCTTCAGAATTTCGAATTTTGCATCAACCTTCACGCCAGTGAGAGCAGGAATATCAACGCCACGGTGCTTCAACGCGTCAAGCTGGTCCTTGATCAAGACTCCAATCCACTTTTTCTTTCCTGGTGGTGGCCGATTTAAGTCTGCCCGACGTACCAAGTGAATAGCTTCAAGTCTGGCACGAGTTTCTTCAGCTTTCTTGGTCCGAGCAGCTTCTTTGGCTCTGTTCAGCTCCACCATAGCTCGGCGAAGCTCCCTCTGTGCCTGCTTTCGACTCTTCTCTAACCCGCTCGCATCGATCCGCCGAGCCTCTCTCATAATGAAGACATGATCCTCGGCTTCGAATAACGCATTCATGAACGAGATTGTATCGTTCCGCGAGAACATCGCCATCGCGTTAAATTGGTGAAGCGACAGCGTGGGCTTGCCTCGTATGGTGACCCGATAACTTCCCAGTAAGCCCTCGTTCACATCATTGGTTGTGGCCATCCATGCTAATCTCTTCTCTTCCTCAGAAAGATCATCTATTGGCCCGCCTGGGGCAAACTCAGCAGAAAATCGCGTCCAAGTGGCTAAAGCACCACGAAAGAAGGCAATGGTGATTGCGCGGAGATGCGGCAGCTCGGGAAGCAAACTGAAGACAGCATTTATGGCATCGCTGTCTTCCCATTTCCCACCATCGAGCGTGGCCGTCTCAAACGATGCATCGTCACCAACGAGAAGGTCTGGTGAGTCTATCATCTTTTGTATATGGTTCTTGACCTCAGCATGCAAGGGGCCAAGGTCCAATACGTTTTGTGCTTCACCATGGGACCCAGGACCACGAACGAGACGGGTGTATGGATAGGAAATGACATTTGTGTAGAGGGCCATTGCGCAGAGCTCAGTGATTGTTGGGATGTCATTGAGCGCAGCGTCAAGGTTCTTCTCAATATTGGTGTGTCCAATTACTGACGACTTTGCGAATGCGATCTCGCTAACGAACTTTCGGTAGCGTTCAAGATTGGCGACCACCATGCATGCTGCACGTCCGAAGCTGCCAAATCGATTGTTGCTCGTATCCGCGAAACGAAATCCAAACTCCGCGACGTGCGTGTCGCCTTGCCCAAGGTTCTCGTTCTTGTTCTCAAAAACACTACCAGCAAGCGCCATCGCCTTTACTCCACCACAGGTGGTGCTCTCCAGCGCATCTTTCTCCACATCGGTGAGTTGGTCATATGGACGAGCCCCCGCATTAAAAACTTGATGTAGAATCTTCGCGTTCTGCTTGTTCGCAAGTGGGAGTGGACTGCCGGCACCAATTTTTGACCATTCTCCCATCATCTCGACATTCCCTCCCTTGAAACTATTCATGTCCTTGTGCATGCAGCACCCCGCCCAGATGAATCCCGAAATCTCTTTGCGATCCTTCTCTGGCAACCTGTCGTATTCCTGTTGGCCCAAATCCATCAAAACCTCGTTCAGCGTTCGTCGATCGTGTTCGGCTTGCTCCAGGTCCGAGAGTGCGTTCCACTTATCCCACCCACCCAAGTCTGTGACTTTCTTCAGGTTCCACGAAGCCAGATAGAGGACGAGGTCTTCCATCGTCTTTCGATCCGGCGATGTCGCCCGCGCTGTCATATTTGCTTCCCCAAGGTTTCGTATGCCATTCTCCTTCTTCCATGTCTGAATTCCCGCCGCAGTCGCCTTCTCGTTATTCGCATGGTCGCCGTTCATGCCTTTTATTGCGGTAAGAAAGTCGGAGACTGTAAATTTTAGGCCCAATCGGCGAGCGATTGGACTCCGTGCAAGTAGTTCTTCTATCTCTTCCACTGCCTCTTTCCATGCGTTGACTGATCCTGCTGCAGTATGGTCCTTCGTCGCGTCAAGACAGACAACTCGTATGCGCGGGACGGACTTTGGGTCAACGTCAAGCGAGCCAGATGCGTAATCGGGGACTCGATGAGCAGAGTGGTGGGCCTCAAGATTCTGTTTGCGATGCATGGTACTGTCGGCGCTGACAGTCAGACCTGTAATATATGTGAGTGTCTATATCTCTTCGGGACTCAAAGCTTACTTCCGGACTTTAGCCATTCATAACCCAACTGTATTTTTCCTGCAACGAGACCCTCCAAAATCGCTCGCCCCACTGTTCGCTCACTCATCGTTGTCTTCATCTCAACACCCAGCATTTCCGCAATAAACTTTATCATCTTTCCGACCTGCGCTCGAGCACATCCCGCCGCTGCCATTTTCCGAGCTGCCTCTCGAAGCGATGCAGAGTATGCATGACCAGTCTTGCTACGGAAAACCTGGGTTGCTCGACGCGCTCTTGACGCCTTCTGAATTGTCACCGCTGACCGCTCCATTCGCCGCACCTTCTTTTCGAGATTCTTGACTGCCCTTCTCATCTCTATTCGGGAATCACGGTTTATCTGTCCCAGCTGCTGGGCCTCCGAAAACTGGTCCAAGATTGTCTGTCGGGCCTTCTGGAGGTCGGATTGTGTCCATTCCAACTGACGCTGGACGAGGGCTAGTCGCGTTTGCTGGGCTGCTGCAGCAAGACGCGCTTTTTCTTGTTTCTCCTCCAGATCCTTCACTTTGACCTCAAGCCGTCGGCATTTCCGTGACTTGTTTTCGTATTTTCGTTTTAACTCGTTATAGGACATTGGCCCTTGGATCCCATTCGAATTTGCGCCCACTGGACGTGCTTTTCCGACCGCTCGCGCTGGATGTGCTAGTGCCGATCTGGGTGTCAAAGGTGGGACATTCTCTTTCTTTGCTCCCCCCTTCTGCAGATTTTTGCTGATAGATGCCTTGCGTGCAGCAGAGAGCCTCTTTGGCCGGTATCCCGAACGCTTTTCGTCACCCATGAAGAGCTTGCACACAAGAGGGCGGATAGGCAGGTAGACACCAGGAATGTTGTTAGTTTAGCCCTGTGGTACAATGAATTCCGTGCATTAGGACTACTTGAGGGTATCTAAGCTGCTTCTGACACGTACCAGAGCCTTCCGCCTCGGCGGGGCCTTCTGGCGAGCCAGTCGACGCGTTTGATGTCTCTTGACGCGGTCGGTCACACTGCCAGTCACACCTCACTTTCGCCGACATTTTATGGCGTCCACTCAGCAGCACTAACCAAAAATCTTGGACATAGCAAGAGTATGCATACTGCTGCATGTTTTCCTCGAGACGGATTTTTTTCAGTTGGATTAATGGGCCACTTACTGACTGCCGCCTAAGAATGGCAACCTTGATCAAAAATGTGTTCCGAGCATCCCAAAGCTTACCAAAAGAGGTGATGATTCCGTCAAAAAAGTCATTTTTTAAGGGCAAGATGCGCTCAGAAAACGTATCGGCGTTTTGATCTACTCATTTGGCAGTGCGGCCTCAGAAGTAAACAAGTACAAACTACTGATTGATTTGATCATTTTACCTGTGGATGCCGGTCCCCACTCAAAGCTGTCCATGAGCTACAGTGCCTTTTACACTTAGGCCGCGCGTACAACAACAACAACACCAAAATAAAATAGTAATAATCGCAATAAATGTCCGTCCCCCCATCTCGCCTATGGAGCGACCCGCACAAAACCCCCATTCTTCTGGTACGTATATCCCACAACTTCAAACCGCGATAGCCGTTGATAAGCCGCTTGTGTGCCCTCGATGCCTAGCTTTACGCCGAGCTGATTCGGGTCCAACTTCTTCAACTGGACCAGAGAGTCGGCCGCTTCGCCCACCAGCCGTCTGATATAGTTGGCCTTGATCCCCACAAGACAGCAAACAGCACGGCGTGTGCCCACATCCAATCCCACCCCGTTTTGCAGTCGACCGAGAATCGCCAGCATCATGCCAAAGGCGGGCTCATACTCATGGGAACTGGAAGACCTGCAACAGCCCAACATGGTCATCTGTGACGACGATAGCATCGACCGCACCGAAATCGAGCGCTCCTGGGTTCAAGTAGACAGGCAGGTCGGTCGGGTCGAATCGTCGGACAAAGGTGGTGGCTGAACCGAGGATTGTTGCGACGGTATCACCGCCAAAGACATCGGGAAGCCGCAGACGATCCTGCTCCAACGCGCGATGAATGACACTTTCGAACAATTTTCTGGTCAGAAGGCGGGTAGCGGGCGAATAAAATCCCTCCGTCAGCGTGTCCCGTAGTCCTTCAAAGCTTTCGTGAACCTTGCTGGTAAAGCGATCAGCAACCTCATGCGATCGAAAATCGACTGTGAAATGCTTCCGGTCCAGCTGGAACTCAATCCGTTGTGGAGTAATCATGAATATGGGGTGGATATTTCCGTCGAGCAATTCCGTTGCACCAGAAGGAAAGAAATTCCCTTGGAGAACATTTACGATTGCAGCGTCATCAGACATCTTGGGTTCTGGTTCTTTGGCGTGAAATAGTTCTCTTGCAATGGGCCCTACGACCTTATATCGCCTTGAGATAGTAGCGGGGTCCATGTTGCGCAGATGACTTGACAACCATGAATTACTACAGTTGAAAAAGAAATGACGCACGTTGCCACAACGATCTCCTCAGTACTCCACGGCCTCATGAACCACAGCTCTGCATTGAACTGGTTGTGCATGAAATGCAGACGCAGTTCCCGCGGCGGCGAGGTCCAGATGAGACACAGACGATCCTTGAATACTCTCAGCGGAGTCCAAGTGGATATGTCTGAATCGTCCACGTCAATGAGAACCCAGCTTTTATTTAGGGCATTGTACTGTTTGATGTTGAAGTCGGCAATGCGGTATCTTTCGACACCAGCATCCGAGAAGAAAAAGGCCGTTTCCTTTTCTCTGATGAGAAAAAAGGATTGACCGCAGGCGAGCAAGAGCAGGACAAAGTAATCACACTGGAATGATTTACCGATGCCCGGCTGGCCCGTGAGGAAGAAAGTAGCCCTACCGAGTTCGATTGCCTTGAGGGCATGCCTATAGAACCGAACGTATTCATCACGGATAATGAAAGCAGGTAGGATCTCGCGTGCGGTATCATTAGAGTGTCGTGTATTTTTGCAAAGCGATTGATTGACTCGGAGATGCCCTAAGGCCCGTCGAAAGGATGGAGCAGATCCAAGGTCAAGATAGCGAATGGGCCGCTGTTCATGATCTTGGAGAGCATTGTCCTCTGCGCCTGCCTTGTTGGCTTCCAACTCGTCCTCCGCCAATTCTCCCTCTGGTGTCTCATCCTGTTCCTCGTTTGCTGGCTTAACCTGTACCTCGGTTTGTTGCCTTTCACTCTTGATCTGGTCAACGAGAAGGCTGGCATTTGTTTCGGCATTGAGCCAGTCATGATCAGTTGGGGACATCTCTTTGATGTATTGAGCTAAAGAGGGAGGTTCGGGATATGGGTTTTGCGGTGAAGGCAAGTCGATGGCAGGCTGCCCCGAAACTTGCTGAGGCCATAGTTCTTGCCAGAGCTCGAAGTAGAGGTCAGGAGCCATGATTCATACTTAAGTAATCCATTTGTTGTGCGATATTAGATTCCCTCGTCATAGATTCGACTTATTGATTCTATTTCTTCTTCCCTTTCCCCGCCTTCTCGGTCCCCCCACCGGCCTTCTTTTTCGGGGCCTTGATGAGCTTGTCTTTACTCACATCATCAGGGTCCTTCACTTTCTCCTTCTCGTCCTCCGAGTCGACGATCTCCTCGTCGACCTCAAACGCATCTTCAATGTCGGGTGCCGGCCCGCTCGCCGCCAACTTCTTGGGCGCCTTGCCCAGGTCCACCGCCTTGTAAAACGGAATCGGGTGTTCCGACGCGTTATACTTCTTGGTCAGCGCAGTCTTAGTGGCGGCCGAGATCTTTTTCAGCACAACCTCGTCCTTCCGCTCGTCAACGCCGAGCTCGATGATAGCATCCCAGTCTTCTTTGCTCAGATAGTACTCGTCCATTTTGCTGATGACAGGGTCGACCGCAGTCTGTTGTAGAACTTATTAGTGGTAGCAAGGTGAATAGCGTAGGACTGACTGTCCCAGACTCCATCAGCGGGGCAATGATATGTGGGAAGAGGGCGGGAAGGTACGATTGTCGAATCTCGGCCTTGTCGCCAGAGATCTTAAGGCGCATCCGCACGCCGACCTCAGTCAGGTTGCGATTTAGTTTTTGCTGCTTTGAGTTCTGGCCAAGCCATCTAGAGAGAGTGTTGGTCAGGTGCAAGAGCAATTTGTGACACAACTCACTGTGGAAAACTGAGTGAGTTGGCTCCGCCATAATGCGCGCCTTGTCCGTAGACAAAGGATGCTGGCCTTACAGTCGAGCAGACAGCATGTAATGGCATCAGACCCCAATGTTGTTCTGACCTTGGTTTCTCGTTCAAATCCTAAATACCTCCCCACCAGAGTAATAACTCACCCATGAATCATCGCGTCAACAAGGTCACCGTCCGATATTGAAGCAGCCGCCTTCTCCATTAATTCCAAAGACTTGAGCTGTTTCATTGGGCCGTCGTAGTTGCGCAACCGAGCGGCCTCTGTCTTGAGATAGTTTTCCTACAGAGCATGAACAGGGCAGGCCAAACAACAAGACTCGCCTACCTGGATGAATAGTGGGACAAACGAATGGTCTTGAAAATAGAGCTCCATTTTGTCCCCCAATGTCTCCCGAGCGGTCGATGAAAACATGTAAGGCCCGAGTATTTTGGTAGTTATGTCGAACGGGCTCATGATAGTATATTTTTCATTCATTTTCGCGCTAAAAGTAGATAAGCCATGGATTGGAAGTTTCAGAAAGCTCACAGCATCTTGCCGTCGTCGAAGCTCATAGTTTGACTGGATAACCGCCATGTTGACATCATGTTGAGTACTTGTCGAATGTCGGATTGGGCGCCAGCGACAAGTTGGTCGAGGACATTGGCGGGTATGCTCATTTTCTCTCTGTGTCCATGTCAGTTAGCTGCATGGAGAAAGACGTCAACCACTCACTTGAAAGCGATGGTCATTAGACGCGATCGTATCATGTTTGCCGCCGGACTAAGAGCGGTGTTCAAAGTTGAACAGTAAAGAAATGGTAGTATTACCGCTGGAAAGCTATACTGAACACGTTGTTCAGCAAGGGCTTCAGTTTCTGGGCCCCGCGGTCATTGGCGATGCAAATGATGGGAACCTGCACATGGATAGGTTTGCCACAAGCTTTCGAAACAAGCTGCTCACTTTGCTTTTCTTGATCATTGCATTCAGAGCACCCACACCTCCACGATCACCAGCAGACATTCCGTCGACTTCATCCATTATAAGACATGTCCGGTCCGTGATTGCAACGCCGTCTGTTTCCTGCAAAGGATAAGAGAAGTGGGGGACAAGGCGGGAATTGGCGCACTCGAGCGCCGGCAATATATCCATCCAACGATTTGTTGTTGACATTCATACCGTTCTGAACAAGTTAGCTGTGTCGGGCCCAAAGGAGACAGGACGCACCTCGACCAACTTCTTGCTCCGCGCATCACTTGCGTTCAATTCTATGGGCGTGAAACCCTCCAGCTTGGCTACTAGGTGGGCACTCGTTGTTTTACCGATACCAGGTGGACCAGTGATCAATACGGCTCGATAGACGTTCATGCCATTCTTGCCCGGCTTTTTGAATCCAGCCTTGAGACTAGTTGACCTGAGGTAAAATAAGACGAGACTGCAATTTTTCGGGCATCATAACAAACCAGTCCTTTAACCATTGCTGAAGCTTCTCTACTTGTCCCTTGTTACCACAAATCTCCTTTAAACTTTGCGGGGCATAACGCGTTGTCCATAGTTGGCCAGCCGGCTCGATAGCACTAGAAACATGACTTTCAGCAAATCCAGTGATAAATGTTGAAAAACAAACCTTGCCTGCTGCTGCTTCTCCCGTTTCTCCATTTCTTTGGCCGCGCTTTTGATAGCTTCTTGTTCTTTCTCGAGTTTTTTGGCCGCCTTCTCGTCTAGTTTTCCTGAACCTGGGCGAGTTCGTATGAGATCCAGAAACTGATCTTCGCTCAGAGTTTTGAGTCCGTGCTTCTTAATCGCATTCAGCTTGGACGGTCCCGCGTTTTCCCCCAGAACAACGAAATCGGTTTTGCCCGATGGTTGGCCAACGACGCGTCTAAGGACTGCTTAGTCAAAGGTCTTACAGAGGAAACAAGCGCACCCTCCATAGCGTTTCGCAGCCTCTGCGATTTCGTCACGGGAGAAGCTACTGAGCTCTCCAGTGAACACGAACGCAAGGCCGGCCAATGCATCCGGTGCACCGTCTGGTATTGCCTTTGAGCCCGGCGCTGACGGACCGGCCAATTTTGCTGCCCTTGCAGCAGCCCAGCTATTTTTCAGCTGAGTAATGGAGTGTGAATGAGCGGACAACACACTTGAATTTCGGTTTGCTCTCGTCCTTGGGTTGCTTAGAAGAACCCGCCTTGGGTTTCGGTGTGCCCTTCTTTGGCTTCTCGTCCTCTTCATCATCGTCAACCACGAAGTCGTCGTCTTTAGTAGTGGAGCGCCGTGGTTTGGGCTTGGTGCTTTTTGCCACTTTCTTCGGAGGTGAGTCGTCCTCCTCTCCAGAGGACTCAACAACGGTGTGTTTGCGTGTCGGTTTCGTAGGCTGCGTAATGGAAGGCCGTGGCTTGGGTTTCGCAACTGCCACAGGTTTCTTCTTGGGTGGAGATTCTCCTTCGTCCTCATCGTCGCTCGACAGCAATACGGTCGACTTGCGTTTCTTGGAAGGCCCAGGGTCAACCGCCATCTTTTCGTCATCACCTAAAGGAGGTTCAATTCGTATGTCTCAGCGGGATAAAGGCAAATCCACTAATTAAATCGATAACTTGTGATGCTGTGGGTTTGGAGGACGTCTTGAATACCCATTAAGCATTCGAGCCAGCTGAATAATACAGGCAGCGCACCGGAGTAGGTTTGGGAGTGCCTTGGCTCGAGAAGAAGGCACGAATGTCCTTGCCGCCGCCGTTGGCCTTACTCTGAGAGGACTTGGCCTGCGAGGATTTGCTGGTCGACATGGATGCAAGACAGATTGGTTGTGACATCACGTGAATGTGACATGGCGTGTTTCTGATTCAGTGAATCATGATCATTCAGTGATTTTGTACTCAGTCACTGAGTTAGACAAAACTACTTGAATGTACGAGACTGGTTGCCCTTCTTCACTTCTCGATGGGCCCTAGGAGGCGCCGGGAAGTCCCCATAGAACGGCTTCCCCTCAGTCTTTTCTTTTTTGTTTTTCCTTTTCTTCTTCACTCTCGTATCCTCTTCCGTTGGTGCATCATCGAGAATATTGGGCACGCTGCCGAAATCAAAGGGTTCCACGATCTCATCGTCTTGTTTTGATGGCGGAGATTCAGCGACGGAGGGGGATTTTTTGTCTGCATCCCGGTCCTTCACCCGTTTTCGCTTCTTCACCCGCGGCTGTCCGACTACTACAATCGAATCGTCTAGGACTGGAGCGAGAGGCTTGGTGACACGTTGCGACGCAGGCAAATACGGAATTTCGACTTGCATGCCCGTCCCAGTAGTTTCCTCAAGAGCCGGCGCAACAGCAGGTTGGGGGATCTTCCAAGAATCAGTCTTAACTGGGATGGGATACTCAATTGGACTCACCGTTGGTAGGGACGGCGCGACTACCAAAGCGCTATGAATGCGGGCCACAACATCGTGGAAGCCCAGATCTGGCTGAACAGAGAATGAAGAAGACCCCACAGTCGATTTTAGGCCACACACCATTTTTTCAATATTCCTGTTACCGAAGAGCACGCTACGCGTAGCTTTGGATGTGGATTTAGATTCGCTTGATAGCACACCACCAAATAGTGTAGATCGGGGCGCAACGCTGGAGGAGGTGACAGGCATAAGACGAAATTTGACAGATAGCCGCAACGCACTTTGGGTCCACATATTCGTTGGATGGCTTTGAGACGATGTCCTCCTCAACAATCGGGACAGGTTTCTCTTCTATTGCCGGCATCGTTTCCTGAGGCCTCGTCAAATGCGAATGAACGCAAGTGCGAATGGCATCTAAGAGCTCTTTGGCCCGTTTCCTGACAGTTGGTGGTACTGAGCTGAAGGTCTTGAGTAGCGCTGTCATGTCGGAAGGCGGACTTTCCGCCAGCTGGAACAGGAAATGGTTCGGAAGGATATAACTACTGATATGAGAATGATGTTCAAGTTGCGAGGTAAACTTTTATACCGCGTGCTCTCGTCTTCTTGTCGAGCTACTGAATCCCGCCATTGATGCACACACCGATAAACTGCTCGTTGAAGTATCTCTTTGCCATTGGGCAGCTCGGCAGCGGCGAGAAGTGCTCCTTTGTTCCACTTCTTTGCGAGGCTATTCCAACCGCCTGGCCCACTGCCCCGGTCGGCATCATAAACTTCTTTCTCATAAGTTCGCAATGCCGTCTCTTGGGACCTGGCAAGAGCTTGTCGCAAAAAAGCCTGTTCGTGGGGCCATTCACCAGCTGGGACATCAGACGGAGGGCCCAGGCCACGATCCAAACAACGCGTTGCGGAGGTTGTCATAAATGTAGAGAAGAAAATGAGTGTCGGATCTTGCGTAATCCAGCATCTCTTGTGGGAGTGGTCTATCACATTTTAGTTTCAAGAATCCAATAACTGTTTATGACGCACCGCACCCGCCAATCGGCTAGTTGATAGCGTTTGTCAGGTGTAAAATCACAATACGTCTCCAATAAATTTGCCAGCCCATGACGAGGGAACTCGAGTAGCTTTGAGGCATGGTACGTGTCGAATAGATTGACGACATATAGGTTGAAGTCTTGCTGCAGCCAAATAATGTCGCTTTCTGCACCATGAAATACCTGGACTTTTATCACCCACTGGTTAAACGCAATAAAGGGACACACCTTGACAATACTCGGATCAGTGAATACTTCGTTGAGTGCCCCATCTGCTAGCTCAGCCCTCAGTTCCAACGTGTCGACGATCCAGTCCTTGCTGCGTGTGCTTATTTGCATCAGACATACTATACCCGCAAAAGAACGATAATTGTTGTGTTCCAAGTCAATTGCAACCTCTGCTGCATGGCGGAGTTCTTCTATCATGGCCTCAAGAGCCCCCGCTGTTGCTACCCATGTTGCCGTAGTTCCATCGAAGGACTGAGGAGAGATGGGCTCGGCTTTGAGGAACATCCTCAAGGGGTAGGGTATATTCATAATTTCGTAACGGTAAGGGTGTCGGCTGGCGCAATTCCTTTAACCAGAAAACTCGCTGAACGGGGAATACGCACATGATAGAATCTCCTTCCGTGTCGCTGAAAACATGCCCCAAAGGAACCTGCGCGTTGAATTTGTGCGAAAGAGCCGGATACCATGGCGAGTCGTTACTATTGTTTATCGGATGCTTGAATCGGAGCTGTGGTTTCGGTAGGTTGGCCGCATGTTGAACAGCGGAGTCCAGTGCACCCTTGCTTGGTTTAGGTTTCCGGAGGGCATCCACGTTCATGTTAATTGCGATCTGTGGAGCTTTGTTTTTCCCTTGAAACTCGTCTAAACACATATCCTGAAAGGTCAGTCAAAGTTTTTACCAATTGTAAATGCTCACTGTCCGCTCCAACAATTGGTCCATCGAGTCGACCACAAGAGAGTGGAAGTCGTCAACAACATCGTCCTGGTTTCGCAGTTTTGTCTTTCCCTTGCTACGAGAGGTAGATACCGCGGCTAATAGATTGTTTGTGAATGCAAGCACGCGGGATGAAAACGCGTCGATGTCGTCTGCAAGTTCTGCATCGATTGAACGATGGAATTTGAGGTCTAAGGGCAGCCCGGCGGCGGCGCGAGTAGCACCGAGAGCAGCGGTCTGTACTTTGGTGTTGAAGTCGGCAAAATTTGAGGATAAAAGCTTCGAGCTTTCGCCTACCATGATGGCAGGGAAATTGAGTGACCGCTTTCGGCTGATGCCACGTGACATCCAAAAAGTTAGTCTGAACCAAAATTTCTCCGATTTCGATGGCCAAGGCTACCAAAAAACCAGCACCGGTAGCTGAATCTTCGAAGGCTTCTGTGCGTCAAGAGGAAGCAGCTCAAGACTCAGTGGCTGAGGACTCCAGCTCGGATGACGGGTCTGAGGACAATGGAGGTGTCGATGAAGAGGGCATGGAGCGGTTGATGAAGGCACTCGGAGAAGACGGGCTCGATGACTTTGAGAGGATGCAGCTGCATGTTACTTTGGGCGGAGACGAAAGCGGCTCCTCAGAAGATGAAGACTTCGCTCCCAACGATGGATCTGTTTCGAACGAAGAATCGGGCTCTGAGGAGGGGGATTCAGACTTAGAAGAGGAACAAGAAAGTGGCGAACAAAGCGACCAAGAAAGTCAAGAAGATGAAGACGTTCCTTTAGATGAGGTTGAATCTATCGACGCCGACGCAGTCCCTCGACAAAAAATTGAAATTGACAACACCGCTGCGATGTCTCGCATACGCGAAACTATTCAACTGGACTCTTCTCTTCCGTGGACCGAAACCCTTGTTCTTTCCTACCCAGAAACCATCGACGTTGATGTTAACGACGACCTGAACAGGGAACTTGCGTTGTAAGATCGGGATTTCCCTCTCACTAGCCAACTATTAACATCTTTCTTAAGCTACAAGCAAGCTCTGCATAGTGCAAACGCCGCGCGCGACCTCGCGACGAAACACAACCTCCCATTCACTCGTCCGCCAGATTACTTTGCGGAGATGGTCAAGTCCGACTCTCATATGGAAAGGATACGACAACGGCTTCTTGATGAACGGGCTGGTATCAAAAAGAGTGAAGACAAGCGTCGCGAGCGAGAGGGCAAGAAATTCGGCAAACAAGTCCAAATAGAAAAGCTCAAAGAGCGAGAGAAGAGCAAGAAGGATATGGAAGAGCGTCTCAAGGGCCTCAAGCGCAGTACGTCGACTTTTCTCACCGTGTTTTACTGTTTCATTCGATTTGTAGAACGTGGGGACATGCTGGACAAACAAGATGACGATGGTTTCGACATAGCAGTTGAAGACGCGATTTCTGACCGACCATCAAAGCGGGGACGTGGAGTGGCTTCTAATGGCCGCGGGGGTTCTAAAATGAGTAGACGAGGTCGGGACCAGAAGTTTGGATTTGGCGGTGGTGGCAGACGATCCAAATCCAATACGCGTGAATCGACTGATGACTTCGGTGGAAAGCGCGGTGGAAAAGCTGGTCCTGGACGGGGTGGGGCGCGTGGAGGGGGTTCCAGACGACTTGGAAAAAGCAAGCGTATAGCTGGAAGAGGCAGAAAGTAGGAATAACATCATGATCGTTGACGCCAGTGCGCGTCGCCTTTGTATGATACCAGCACAACTTTCTTTGGAGAGGGCCAATGTCGGGGGCTTAGAAATTGTCACCGTTGCGGGTGGTGATACTATTGCTACTAACTCAATTCACACCATGCTTCGGTCCAAATCTAAGCTACTGATCATGATAAGCAAAGCATGACTTGACCTTGGTCCGACTACGAAAGGTGGGTCAAGACTTGACCAACCTCCACCTGGACGTTATTTTACGCATCTCTTGAGCAAATTGGAACTCGCTCCCTCGAAACAGCAGACTTGAACCAGCCCCATGGCCAGCTCAATGATCCAAGCCCAGTCAATCAGTTGCGTGTGCATTCAATTCGTCAGCCGTCCAGCCTAAAACTATTAATTCTTGGAAGGAATGCAGAAGAATACGCTAACTCTTGCGAGACGTTACCAACGTCGACAGGGCAGCAAAAATATTTAAATTGGTTGAAGGGCGATGTGTCAGTGTAGGGGACCGAGATCGTCTGCCCTTCGGGAATAACATAGACAAGCCAGAGTTCTTCATCCGGGAGACGGCGTTCTCGGAGTCGTTCCAAACCCGATTGATTGAGTGAATGAGTTGCCGACATTGTCATCTGGAGACCAACCAGTCGGGATGGGTTGCTTAAATGGACCATGGAATCGAATGTTGGGTTGTTGGCTTCAATTGGAATGTAGTAGCAATCGATATTGCTGGTGTGCTTAGGTGTCTCGGAAGCCACGAACGTCTGCATTGAGCGCTGTGCCATGGGCCATTCCAAGCTCTGAGGCGAGAACTTTGGTTCAAGTTCGGCTCCAGCCACCGCCATAGAAAAAAGTTTGACAACTGTGTTCGGGGAGGACGTCGCAAATAGACGATGACAAAGGGTTTCGAAACACCATGCACGTGGTACACTCAATTGACTGCTGCCGGCAAAGAGCTTGTACATCCGATGGAGATATCCGAGTTGCCGCTGTGCCAGATGCGTGTGCAAAAGACGAAGGACAGTTTTGGGTACTTGGTGTACCATGGCATCTTGTCCGCGTTCGGTTCGCATGCCGGTCTCCGAGCGATTGATAGATATTAAGCTATGAGACAATAATTTGAGGTCTGGTGTGCTCGAGGAGAAAAGAAGGTTGTCCAAGTCGTTGTCGTGAAGATTGCTGAACCCGAGGCGAATGTCTCTGATAACTTGAACCTCAGTTATCATTCCGTACTGGAGCTCGGTTAATGTGTGGATATTTGGACCTGCCAGGCCAAAGGCGGCTTCAAAGGTCATGTCGCTTTGCTGTGGAAGCTCCCGACAAAAATAATCCCGCAATCTATTCGGGTTGAGCCATAAGCATCGGGTCATCAAGACTGTTAGCTTACTCTTCTTCTGTCGGGGGGTTGATAATGAGGGTCGCCATGCTGGCATTCTTTGACCACTTCTTGTACTGATGTGGTTGTGAGGAAGTCGCCGCGATGACGAACATTAGCCCTGTTACATCAAGACCTGCTGGAATCTCCCCGATCCAGTCCATATTGATAAGAAACGCCAGGCCTTTCAGAGCCTCGCGGTAAACAAAATCCTTGATGTCGCACGTGACGCGATAGGCTCCAGACTTGGTGTGCAGAAAAAGGTGGCTTTCCCAGAAGATTACAATTGGCAGTTGCAATGCCAGGGAGATCATCAGGTATAACCATAAAAACATTGACTTTCCTGAGTAGACAGGGAATAAGCAAAGATGAACTATGAGTATAAGAGACACAGACCAATGCCTGGCATGCCAATTATAAACACGCCAGAGTGACTTTGAGTTCTGAAGCCGGTGCGCATGGTAAGAAAGTCATGAGTGCGCTTGATGTCGATGTACTTGAATAGCCTCAGATACTCCTTGAAAAATACGATATACGACGGAAGTGTATATAGCTTGGCATTTCCAGGCATTTCCCAAGTAGCTGGTGGTTCTGGCTGCCTGTCGGCGAGGCCCCAATATTTTTGATGGAGGTCATGATGATAGACAAGCTCAGTTGACAGGTTTCTGCGTGCCTTGGTCGACTGCGAGGAGCTTGAGGGGATATGAGTGCACGCTTTGTTGGTAATGAGAGATGAACATACAGCTCCGAGTCCTTGGGTAGTATCTTGACGAAGACTTTGGGTTCAGTGCGGATCATTTCCTCCAGCTCGTCAATCAACAAGTCCGCAGGGCGCGTGCCGATGAAAGATGGCCATGGTAATGATGGCATTGTCGTTGAGAACGAGAAAGGCTAGGAGAAGATGTCACAAATTGTCACGGAGGACGAGCTTTAAATTTGGCCTGCTTTGGCGAGTAAGTAAGAGGAATTGGCCTCTTAAGTGGAATTGGAGCAGCATAGGCAGCATAGTTCATGGTGGTCGATCCCAAGAGATTCTTTTTGAGTCGTAGCTGAGAAGCTCATGGTGGTTGATTGCAATGCCATGATGATTTCACCCACAACGAAACAACATCTGAAGGAGCAGTCCAGTTCCACAATGATCAGTATTATACCAAAAGATCTAAGGAGGGTATCATAAAACACATTCCAAGTACACTATGACCGCGGGAAAGCTCCAGGGATCGTCTGTCTCCGCCGCTCTGGGTGGTGAAAGTACGTGCTGTATCGCGACAGCCGCGAAGGCGATGCAGTCGGGCTGGAGCTTACAGGCGTCCCTTCTTCTCCATTCGAAGTCACGGGTGGCTGGTCAATGTCGGCCAGAGACGCTATCGAGTTTTCCAGCCCGCCCGTCTGTGTTCCGTAGTCTTCCTCATCGCTCTCGTCATGCAGCCACTCTCCGTCATCAGGTAGATTAATGACCCCACTGGCTGGGTCGAAGCTCAGTCGATGGCTCAGCGGAGCAGTCGAGGACCTCCGCGGCTCATGTTGCCACGGGTTGCTGCTGCTGGTCGATACGTTGTCGGAAGAAACACTGGGTCCATTAGAAGAGCCAGCGGGGATAAACTCCGTTTGCGTCCGCCGTCTTACTGACGGGCGCTTGCGTAATGTTAGCACAACCGCCTGGCCATTCGTGTCCTTCGACAAACGCGGCGAGGCTCGGTGCTCATTGTTTGAGAGGGTTTGTCCCTTCTTCAACGGCAGCCATGGCTGTGGGAGCACACCATTGAGTGCAGGATGGCCGTAACGGCGTTTGCCGGTACTGTAGACCGTATGATTAAGAAAGGATGTATATATTGAGTGGTTTTCTTACTTGAGAACACCTGAATACCAGTTCGCCATTGGTGGTTGTGACTGCAGGGGAGGTTAGTTGTCAGAGAGTCACGTGACTTTATCGTACATAGTCTGTTCGTTCGTCCTCCGGAGCAACATATAAAGTCTCGTCGTTTTGGGCATATCGACGACGACTTAGATTACTGCGGCGCAAAAGGTTAGTCAAGAGTGGAAAACAGACAAGTTGCAGATCTACCTTTGGGACCAGGTCACGGGATGCTCTGCCTGAAGTCTCGTTACCTCCGAAGACTCCTCCCCCCGTTCAACTTCGTGCACAGAGCTCAGGCTCACGAAATCGCTCAGTGGCTGGAGCGCGCCATAGACATACCATGACCAAACAACCGTTCCAATGAGAAGAGGAACGAGCATGAGGGTGATGACGTAGGACAGCTTTGAGCCAGCGTAAGTGTTTTGCAGAATGAAAAATCCGGTCATGAACAGCAGGAAGATTATGACGCCCCAGATTAATCGGACGAATGTGAGTGGCCATGCCTGGCCCTGCGATTCGTATGGTTTGTAGAATACTGTTCTTGGGTCAGTGGTGTTCGAGGTAGAATAAAGTAGAGGCAAACCAAAAAGCAACTTGTATTTGTATACCACGTAAGCATTGCCGAAGTAGATCGCGCCGAATATAAGAATGAGGGGTTGAGTGACGCTGTAGAGGATCGTGATGACAAACATGAGGATCGATTGAGGGTACACGATCCCATAATTGATCATTGGTGGTGCATTGAGTTCCGCAAAGTCTAGTCAATTTGTTGAGAGATAGTCTTGACCGACAGATTTGACATACCTCGAGGGGTTCTTGTTATAAACAGCTGGAAAAATCGTGGAATGGTTACACCCAAGTTGAGGAGTTGTAAGGGCATGATACCGAGAGCTAAGAAAAGTGAGGCTTCGTTCGCATGGCATATCACCACAGATACCTTGCAGGATCACATAAGACAGGAAGAAGTTCCGCGCTTTACCGGCTTGCAGAGCTTTAGCAAGCTTTTCGGGAATCTTGGCAGGGAAGTTCGCCAGCTCATACAACAGCTCGAGATAGGTCGAAGCGAGGAGGAATATGAATACGACATTGATAAGTAGGAAAAGAAAGTATCTGATCACCGTTAGGACATCAGCTTGAGGTAAAGTTTCTTACTTCTTGAGCAGAGAATACTCGACCCAACTCCTGGCACGATAACCTTGTTGATATGTCAAGGCTGGTCGATTGTTAGAATTATATTGGATTAATTGGTCTATTCACATACCCTCAAGCAAAAATGGTAGCAAGGCGTTCAAAGATATAATAGCCACTGATGGCAACGAGTTCTGCACAATGGCTCGAATCTTGTCGTTGCTGTCGATAAGACGTGCAAGCCAGGGTAGGATCTTCTGAATCTCAGTGTAACTGAGGAGACCCGCGAGTGTGGTGATGATAATTGACCAGAACAAGAACAAGAGGACAATCATCGCCAAAACGAAGACATCTCGAGTCTGAATGCTGAGTTGAGACGGAGTCATGTTACTCCACACAATATCTCGAGGTTCGGGAGCAGGATACGTCTTGCATTGTAGCGGAGTTGGTGCATGGGCGACCTGAACGGCGACTTGGGCTGATGACATCTTCTCAAAAGTGACAAACGCAACCTGGGTGGCCTTGAACTTGGACATGCGCTTCTTGCGTACTTTTTCGTCGATTTCTTTAAACCGCGCATCAAGGTACTCTAACGCATCGACCTTGGGACCAAACCAAGTAGGGCGGACGGAAGGGCGAGGGCGGTGGGGGACTACGAGACGCTGAGGCTGGCCAGCACCGAATTCAAGATCAACGAGGGGACCAACACCGCTTGTTTCAGGATCGTATTCCTCCACGGTGCTTGGATTGCCGACATAGCTTGTCCACGCTGACTCCAGCTCGAGGAGGGCACGAGTTCGCTCGTCAATAAGCTTCTTCAGCGAGCCGACCTCCCTGCAGACGGTGACACTCTCGACACTGAGATTCATGTTTTCGAAGTACTCTGCCAACGGTCGTTCGCCCATCAAATGCCGCGGAAGGTTTGTCACCATGACTGTGCGGGCTGGTATGGAATGCACCAGTTCCAGAGAGAATAGTTGCCGGGAGCGAATGAAGCGCCGGTAGTTCCTGTAGATGAAGTAGAGGGCGAGCAGTGTGAATAGATAGGTGAAGACAAGGTAGAGTGATAGGAATGCATTGGCTTCGGTGATGAGGTCGAGCCAGTCTGAACCTGGTAGGGTCCCATTGGTTGTACCATTCACGGCAGTGGCAGTAAGGCGGACAGGTCTGCTGCTGAGTAGACTAGGCCAGTCATCCTCATCCCCGGGCCAATCTTCGCCGTCTCCGAGCTCCTTGTTGTGCTGCATAGGAGTATGAGAGAAAACGTCATAGCATATAACATTATATTGCGCACCCTCCAGTTTATAGGCATGAGAATAGTCACTGCGAAGAAGGCGCAAACCGAGAAGAGCTTGAATGCCATTTTGTAGAAATTGAGCAGGACGGCGGCATCCAGCCCGACGATCTGGAGAACGGTAAACTCGGAGGTCCGTATGGTCGGTAATATCCATCCGAAGAATGCCTGGTGGGCGTGTGCTTCATGTGGGGAAAATCCTGCGGTTTGGCGTTAGGAGCGGTGAACGTTGTAGACTCATCCACAGCGCACCTTTGAGCTTTGTACGTGGGGCAAATAGAAGCGGCCAACGAGTTCGGGAGTAGGAGAAGACAAGGAATGAGAAAATGCCAATCCCGCCAGATAGGATGAGTTGAGTTGTAAACCATGGGCCCTCAAAGCGCACTGTTTGCTTTCAAATCTCCTACCACATATTATTCTAAAAGCACATACTACGCGGAGGACTTCCGGGTGGTGGACCTTCAGGAGGGTCGAAAAGCGTCATTGAAGTGGATGCTTCTCAAGAAACATATGTCACGCTCACTGGCGCCAACGCTCGCCAACGATCATAATACTATTTCTACTTTCTACCTCTTCCACCTGTATGCCTGCTTTTTCTAAGTCCTCTAACACGCCCTCCACGCGCCCCACACCGTCTATAGCCAGTCTTTTTTCCGCGCTTTCCCGCTCGATTACGCGTGTTGGCGTCTGCCATGGCCACCACCACTACACGCCCCCGCTTTGATAGTCAGTCAGAAATCGCGTACCGCAATTTCGGAAACCATTGTCGCTTTGTTTGTCTGATGGTACGAAGATTGCAACGCAAGTCTTGTCGAAAATTGAGGATGCCTCTGTCTGGGGAAGCCTTCAAGCTTCAAGTTTCAACCCTTTCATAGGCGGGGTGCCATAACCATTGCTTTCCGCTGCTGGATCCAACTCATATTCTCATCCGATCCGAAGTGCCCCGAAATCCCTCAAGTTCAACTGTATAGTCGATTCAGATGACTCAAAACCTCTAACGAGGCGACGACGCAAGCGACAAGAATACCTGGAGACAGGCCAAGCACACACGCCACAAGCTGCCTTGAAATGATGTCGTTGTTGCTTCCTCTTGCCGACATGGAAGTACCGCAAGACTTGTGCAAGAAAGATCGATATGCTCGATGACTGAGTTGTTTGCCGTCGAAAGCAAGCGGACCGGCGGCCGGTGGGACGGATCGAGAACTCGGGGTTGGAGCGACTAGTAGTACCCGACTACTAGAAACTCGTCTGGGGATGATGTCAATATATGCATCTCAGGGAAGACGATTTGGGTCCCCTGCACCAATTCGGCGTCTTATGACTATTTCTGCTGCAATTTCTCACACGAGTGAGTGCATTCTTCTGCATTCCTTCAAAAATTCACAGTCTTACATAGGCTGGACGGCCGACGACGTGAATGCGGACGCAACTTCACTTCAATGATTGTTTCATTTTTACTTTGAGTGAGTGAGTTGTACTCATGCTTATTGAGTATTAATTGTCCACCTTTCGATTGAGGAAACTGAGCAACGCCGACCAACCTTAAATTGACCGCAACAGATGCACGCGACAACTCTTTCTTCGCTGGTAACAATAACTTCGGAATCCACTCAGACCAGCCGCCGGCACTCACGGCCGCTCTACCACACTCGGCCCAACACCGACTTTCGGGAGATGATCTGAGCGTCGCAGCTTTCCGGACGCAGGGTGACCTGCATGGAGCCCACTTTCCTAGTCCCGGCCAGCTCCATGCGTCCGACAGCAAGTTCTGACTCTTGTCTTTTTCGCATATGTCTCGTTTCAAGCTTTCTACTGTCTCGCTGCCCGCTGCAGTTTGGTTCGGTCGACTTGGGATATCCGTGGTAAGTAACCGCCTCGTTCTCGACGAAGCTGCCAAATCTGGTGCTCATACTGTTCAATGTGGCATTTGGCTCTGATATATTCCAATTCCAACAAAGTATCTCAGTGAAAATTTGTACATTAACACTATCCTGAGTCTTCGCTCGAACCACCGACGTCACGCAGCTCAATAGCCACGAACTCTCTTGCTTCAGTAAGCTCCAACGGCCCGTCCCGCATCTTGGCGTATGCCTTCTGCAATGCCGCCACTATCCAATCAATCTGCTGCTTGTCGTGTTCAGGCAGGATCCTCCCGCCCGGCTGCGCGCCGTGCGGCCACGTGAGGCCCATGTTCATCGTCCACGGATAGTGTGGATGCGTGCCGGCCCAGTTCCAGTCGATAACCACCACCTTGTCATTCTTCGCAAAAAGGATGTTGGGCAGCCGGAGGTCGCCGTGGACGATGCCGAGCTGGCGCAACCGCCCGGGAAGAGCTTCAAGAGCTTTGATATGTGCTTGGGTGATGTGGTCCGCACGCTCGACATAATCCATAACGACAACAGACCAGCCAGTCTGCGACTCCTGGAGAGCATCCCCGTAGAAGACGAGGTTTGGCGCCAAATCTGCCTCTGCTGCAGCCCGATGTGCCGCTTCCCCGTAGGTAGTAGTCTCGAACAATTTCACCACAACGTGCTGGTCCTCGTGCCCTTCCCTCTGCCACACAGTGTGGAATACGCGCATGTCGGTTTCGCGGAAGAGACGAGCCGGCTGCAAAGTGCCACCTAGCATATCTCTGATTGGAAAGACAGAGGGGGCGATAGGGGGCGCTTGGATCAGCTTGCGGAAAACAGCGAGTGCTTTGACTGCCTTCCCAACACACGTCAGGATACAAGCGGTGCGAAGTACTTCAAGGTCGCTTGGGTCCGTTGACAATGTGCCGCCCACCCCATACGTGAGATGTGTCGCAGCCTGCCACGAAGCCCGCTCCTCCTCTTTCCCGTCGACGTAATACGTGTTGAGATAAGCGTGACCGATCTCGATAGTATGCGCGCGGATGGCCATGAAGAGCACCAGCACGGGCCGGGTTTCGTCCTTGATGAAGCGTTTGAGTAGGGCTGACAAACATGCTCAAGTTACCATATTGGGATCTCCAGCGATGAGATGACGAATGCGGTACAATGCCTGGATAGTTGGGTCTCCAGCCAGCTGGTTTTTGCAAACGAGGAACAGCTGGTCGTCTCCCGAGAAGCCAGTGAGACGTCGCAATGGCCCCTCGATGGCTTGTCGCAAACCCGGCTCCGCGGCGTAATCTCCGCAAAGTGCAGAGATCAACTTCCGTGCATTGTTGAGTAGTTCCCCTTTGGACAAACCACCATCTTTCTATGAGTTGCAAATAAGCATTGTAGAACACATCATCTGCGGAGAACACCTGCCTTGATCTGGGCGAGGGAGGCCTTTAGTTCCTGTTCATTGGCCGAGACACATCGGTGGAGGGCTGACCAGAGCTGGGCCAGCGGCTCGGCCTGGCAGGCCCCGTGGATCGTACGGATAGTGGGACATGCTCCTACTTCTGCAGATGGAATAACTCCGTGGAATCGAGAGTCGCTCTTCTGCATCGCTTCTTGCAAGGGCTGGCCTCCTTTTGCGAGAGTGCTGGGGGAGTCGATTTTGGGGAGTAATAGCCGCCTCTTCTTGTTGCTGACATACACAACAGGCTCGAAGAAAACACACGGCGAGCCATTCGGGTCTTCTATGGCCTCACCGAAAGTGACTTCTGTGAGGAATGCGCCGTTGTACCGCGCGCGGGCATGCCGTTTGAAAGTGGGGATGCCATCGCCAAGCGAAGCCGCAGGGGCGACATAGAGACGGCCCCGATGAATGTCGTCTGGACGAGCTGGGTAGCGAGCTGAGAGCGTTGGGAATATTTTTTGGTCTTTTGGCTGTTGATCCATTTCGAATCGCAGGCCAAAAAACTGCGTTTCATCTGGTATGAGCCAGCGGAAGCGGACAACGGGCGCCTATGGACCACGTCATTGTGGAAGCTCGCATGGGGCTGGTCAAGGTGCTCACCATGGTTTGGTCATTACCTTGCATCTCAGTGCTTAAGTCCTGAAGTTCGCCTGTCACATCACATCACATCACGGTCATCAACTCTCTGACTCGGCAAATCCCGACCTGCGAGCAACGTCTGAGGGTGCTTGCCATGGTGGCGGAGAGCGGACCTTCAGACCGAAAGATGAAGGGCGAGAGGTTCCTATGTATGTAACCCAGATCGTCATTATTCCCAAGACAGTGACCGGACCATTTTTCGATCGCTTGTGGACGGTTTTAGGTTTTATTAGTGCACGGTTGCACTACGGTTGCTCCAACTTGCCCGGCACGACATCACCACCTTCAAAATCCCTGGTCAGTCTGTATCGTTGACTAACGTCGGCTTCCGAACCTTCGACGGTCGCCAACGTGGCCAACCAACTCGCTGAACATGCACAACACGCAAGCATGGTCCCCACGAGACGTGTTCCTCCGAGAACAGGCACTTGCGCAACCTTAACAGTGACTGGGATTGATTATTAATACATTGTGGACGAGAATCGTGGACCAGGTGCCAACCAACAGTCCACAACGATCATCACGCCTCCGACGCGCAATGACATGGGTTTGGGTCTGGGTCTGGATAGAGCAGAGAGCGGCTTGGGCCAGGTTGAGAGAGTACTGCTAGTCGCAAAGCAATGTCATTTGGTGACAGGAAGTTGAGGGAGACTATCGGAGAGCTCGTCGAGCTCCGAGAAATTCATAGACGGTTGGCGTCAGTGTTTAGCGCAAGGATGCGGGGATTGGATTGGATTGGATTGATACGCGGCACGGTCCGACTGACGAACGCCGGGGAACCTATAGGTTTGTAAAATGTTAGTGGTAGCTGACTAATTGGTATGCGTGTTTGTTCCTGCTCAAAAGTAACATTTTCCAGCACGCGTCCCTCAGCTCTCACTGGCTCCTCTTTTCTCGGGCTATCGCAAAGGTTTTCACGCGCACGAACACCAATGCCGCCGTCCCGCTCGATTGGCACCTTGTTCGCAGTGACTATTACTCATGCCCATGAACTGGAGGGTGTGCGATAGAATCTTATGTGCTCTAACGCTGTCTCTGACACTTCTTTGCAGCACAACGGAGATTAGCCGGGATGGGATGAATAGTCCGGTTCATTTAGCAGCAGACTCGCAAAGCAAATAAATGTTTGGTGAGTGAACAACAACGATCTGAGAGCGCGTTAAATCATGCAGTAGATGCATCAGAGAGGGGCAAAATGTCTGACCTCAACGACCATTGCCAACTCTCGAATTGGGGGGACCTGCTGAACATTCACCTTCCACAAATCCCCGAGCGGCTCAATGCTAAAAGAGCATATTCCCCTTCTCCATTCACCGCACCTACCCCGCCTGCCCCCACCCATTTCCGACGCAATGCCCATCTTGAACCGCCGCTTGGACCGCTTCATATCCCTGAATAATCTTGGCAATTTCTCCCAGCTCATTCAAACAGAATATACCTCCCTTTTGCGAGCCCTGTCCTCGACCATGCCGGATACAAGCTATGGTGTTTACACCGCTGCTTCCAAAATCACAGACTTCATTTGCGCTCTCTGGACAGACATCCATCCCGACTTCTATTTCAACGGCTTTCATCTCCCGAGGGGGGTGCCCGGGTCGAATATGGACTTGACTCTCAAGGCCGACGATATCGCAATCAGCGGATTTTCCGCAGTGTTCCTTCCCCGCGGCGTCCTCCAGGAAGAGGTGAATGCTACGCCGGACGATGTTGCTTTGCAGGTGGACCTGCAGACACAAACTGCACTTAAGCAGGTATTTTCAGCCTCGCATCGTAACCCTTGGGTGTCTCACTTCTCCTAGCTCGGCACCAAGATGGAGTTACTGCAGCACCTTGTCTCGGAACCTGTCTGCTCACTGAAGTTCCGGGCTGACCTCGACATTCGGTTCGGTCTTCTCTTTGCCTATCCGTTCTTCTGTATCGTTGAAGACGGTAAGTCCACAGTTGAACTCAGCATACACCCCTGACTTTCACCAGCCACGGACCACGCCCTCCGATTGTCGGATGTCACCAGCTGTGCTCCACAGGATCCGCCTTCCCCGGAAAGCCCCCACTTGGCCTCTCTCGTCGCTCTTTGGTTTGCACTGTCAATTCCAGAACAAGATGTGCGTCATACAGACGGCCGCATCACTTACGGTGTTAAACTCGACTCCCGAAACACCAACACCCTCAAGCCGCCAGCTGAACCCTCAACGCCCACGACATGGAAAGTGCTCGACCGTATCGTTCGTGTTTACTATTCAGATAACGGTATATTCAACTCTTCATAGCATGTGCGGTGGACGGGGAGTTCTTCGTCCAGCCCACCCATGGCAAATATGCGTCGCATATCTCGTGAGCAGCTTCAAATGCTGTCCACAGACGATGGGGACTCAGATGGCGATGACACCGATGAGGGCGTCAATTTGGAGGAGGACGAGGAATACCACAACGACAACGACTCAGATGACTACCATGAAGAAGAAATGGACGATGTCGAGGCCCCTCCTACTAGTGAGCATTTCGACGACGGACTGTCAAATTCTAGTGGCCGTTCATCCAGAAGCCCGACCCCAGCCTCACTAGAAATCGCTGGGTATCCCGCCCAACTTACGATAACGGGAATAACCGGTAGCGATGGCGCACAGCTCTACCGTGCAGTGCTGGACATGGGCGGTCCCAACCAACGGTCAATTTTGCTGAAAGCCATCACACGAACCCGGGCGGGCGAGCTAGCTGACGAACTCGCTATATATGAACGACTCGATGCGAGAACCTCAGCAGACAAGTCCCCCAGCCTCGTTCCACCGTGCTTGGGTGCTTTCGCAGACCCGCGTTGTGCCTGGGTGGGAGCGATACTAGAACATTCGGAGAGCTGCCCGCCATTCGATGCGTTGTCCCCCACCGAGAAGTAAGTGCGAGTAATCATCACAAGATTGTTTGCTAATGTGCTCAGAAACGACGTCTATAATGCTCTGCGCCGTCTCCATAGTCTGGGTGTGCAGCGCGGTTCTTTTCACAGTGGACATGTGAGAAGGAGCGTCAACGGGGAATGGTGGATAACGAACCTGCATGGGGCGAGCTGTGAACATCAGTGTCCAGGAGAAGAGTGTGGGGAACTTGTGAAGGCACGAGAGGCGCTGGGATTGTAAAATTTCTGTGCATAATCCAGCTAAAGTTGTAGAATTCTACTTGTCCTAGCTGACCAATCACTGTTTACTTATTTCTGCAAATGAAGTACCGGCAACATATTTGCTGCCCAGTTTCCAGCATGCGTCCCTCAGCTATGAGGAGGTTCTCTACGTAGCAAAGTTTTGACGCGCACGAACACCAATGCCACCGTCATACTCGATTTCTACAAAATGGCATCCAAGCTCTTCTCGGTTCGCGCCTTCTACGCAGTGACTATCATCATGCCCATAAACTGGAGGGTGCGCGATAGAATCTTATTTGCTCTAACACTATCTCTAACACTCCTTTGCAGCATAACAAATAACTGGGAGACAACGAAGATTAGCCGGGATGACTAGCCCAGTCTATTTAGCAGCAGACTGCCACTGCCGTGAATGATACAACCAATGGGACCAGGCACTGTGGGAGGCAAGGGCTTGTGGGAGGCAAGGGATCGAAATGCATTGGCTTCGGTGATGAGGTCGAGCCAGTCTGACCCTGGTAGGTCCCATTGGTTGTATCATTCACTACTTAACCTTATCCGCCCAATCCATACCAGCCCGCAGTCATGGTGACAACCTTCCGGTCAGTTGATGGGCGAACGACCGTTGGCCGAGTACTTCGAGAACATGAATCTCAGTGTTGAGAGTGTCACCGTCTGTAGGGAGGTCGGCTCGCTGAAGAAGCTCATTGACTGTTGAAATTCCGAGGTTATCGCGGGAGCGATGGGATCAAAGTCGGCGAGAGTTTGCAATCGCAAACCGGTGAGGGTTCAATGCGTTAGGGCAAACGATGCCCAACGCTGAGAATCATTTCAGGTTATATACTACAGGCTAATTGTACTAGTATATTCTACAGTTTTCTAATGATCAGTCAGCGCACAAGTGGAAGGCTCTGGAAGATTCACGGCGAGTCACACCCGTGACCCATCAATCTTCAACATTGACGAGCGAACTTGTGCTCTCCTCGAGTTGGAAACAGTCCATGTCGACAATCCAAACAAGCAATACGATCTCGAAACGAACTTGAACGGCGATTCCGTGCCTAGAGACCATTCCTCCACGGAACCCCCACCAAGATAGGAGTCAAACATCGATGACTCGGACGCCTCTTTGAATTCTTCTCTTCCAAGACCACCAACTTGTCCGCTCTTGTTGCATTCTTTCACTCCATCACGAAGTGCTGAGATGGCTCCTTCCAGCTTTGGACCTCTCTTGCGACCAAGCTCAGAACCGCCTAGGCCAGAGTTCCGTTTCAATGTGGAGTGTCAAGGGACAAAGGGGTCGCAGAAAATTGACCTTTTGTCAATAATTAGTGTGGAAGGTAGATGCAACTTCAAGCAACCACCTCTTGACCGCTGACTTACTTTCGTACAGTTGTGCCATCCGGCTTCAGATTCCTTGATAAATTGAATGTTCCCATGCTGCAAAGTGAGGCTTCATTGCCACATATAATCACCCAGTAACCTTGTTCTTCAGAGTATTTCCAGCATCTCCCAGTTGACTTCTGGAAAAGCAGGGAGACTACTTACTTATATTGTACTGTATTGTTATTCTTCCAGCGGTCACCCGGATTTGGGACGACATCAGTATTCACATTAGGTTCAGCAATGAGGATGGTGTGTGCTTTCATCCCCATTTTTTCCTGTTTTTACTGTGAGATACAGATGCTACACATTTTTGGGATGAAGCCGTTGCCGTTGGAATACTGAGCTCATTCTGCCCATCAAAACCTATGTTTCCTTCAAGAACAAGACGGCAAAGCTCTTGCCACTCGATCATCCATTGAGCAAGCTCGTAACGCAAACTGCGACGGAGCTAGCTTTCACGCCACCCCTGAAGATTTTTGCCCCAATCACGTCCTGGAACATTGCGTCCACCACTCAGACTGCAGCGTTATCGAGAAACACCAACGCCCTTTTGCGGGATTCTCTGCCCCCTCGCTTCGTAATTTGCGATGCCTCCACTGACCCCGAATTTCCATTCGTGTTTGATGACGATAAAGATGGTGCTCGTTCCGACTCTGCGAGCACCGCCCGTGTGGGACAACAACCTCGTTGACATGCCTGACAAATGGGTAAAACAGATCATCGCCAGACGATATGCAACCCACAACCACCACGTTACACTGTCGTTTGAGCTGGTCAAGTATTACATAGCTGCAACGCAAGCAGCTGAAAGCAGAAAGAGTGCCGAGGCTGGGAGATCCTTGAAGGCTGTCGTGGCCGGTGTTAAAAGCACCATCATCCATGAAGTTGCACGTCTTTATGTCATCCGCCTGGTTTGTGTCTCCAATTTCCCCTTTTGCTTGTGTTAACATTCGTAGGGACAAGATTCCCCTCCACGTTCTGAAGTCGCAGGAGCCGCCTCTGCCCACTTCGATCAAACTGAATACGATGATCTAAACCGCGCTGGAATAATCGAGGCCGGATATCTGGCTGAAACCATCTACTTTGGGGGTCGAACACGTGTTGTTCTTGATCAAGGTGCGCTACTTCTCCTTTTTTGTGCTGCTTCCTCCAATTGAGCTTTATAGATGGCTGGCCGCACTTTGCCATTGCTTTTGTGCCCGAGCCAGATTCGCCATCACCTCCCAAAACATCCACCGAATCATCTACCACGAGCGACGAGAACGACTCAAGATCCAGAGGTGTCTTCTCAGATTTGGGGCATGCAGAAAAGCTTCAAGTTGACAACCTAGACGAAGAAGAACAACCGACGACTGATCTACCGCCCCCAATTGAACTCGATGCAAAAACTCGGGCCACATGGAGAGATGCGACAAAGGAAACTGATCCATTGACTGGCGACACTTCTTTCGCCAGCAAGCTGCCACGGGTGGTCATTTGGCCCGACGCGACTGTCGATCTGTTCTTGCAGTCCGGTCTACCCAAGACCTTACCTGACATGCCGTCGGGTCCAGTCCGCGTAGCGCTGGGACCAACTCCCAGAAGCCGAATGAGAAACAAAACCCAGAGTCCGACATCGCGACACCAAAAACCGCGCAAATCGGCTGACTTAGAACAAAATACGCCCAAAGCCCCCCCATACGTGGTCAAAGGACGCAGAGTTCCTCTACTGGTGGACCCTTCCCTTCGTAGAACCTGGCCAAGCGTCGTCGGTCGCTCAGTTAACCCTTCGACTACACCCAAGAAACAGCCTGGCTAGCAGACAACGAAAAGTATTTTTACGTTCCGGCAAGTTCGCATAGCTACAATAGCTTATATCACTTCAATATCAGTAAACGTGTACACTTTTTGTCGTCTCCCTCATACTTAGATCTTGGCTGTAGGCAACCAACCACCATGAACATAATCGCGAAAACGCTGCCTATTCACTTTGAATTCGACTCGCAATTTAAAAGCAACGTTGACAACTTCTGGTGAGTGAACAACAACGATCTGAGAGCTCGTCAAATTATGCAACAGATGTGCGTGACGCAAAGCAACTTGAAGGAGCTCCACAAAATGTCTTACCTCAACGACCATTTCCGACTCTCAAATTGGAGGGACCTGCTGAACATTCGCCTTCCACAAATCCCCGAGCGGCCCAATGTCAAAGAAGCATATTCAGCTTCTCTATTCACTGCACCTACTCCCCCTGTCCCCACCCATTTCAGACGCAATGCCCATCTTGAAGAAGACCTCTTCCGTCGCTTGGATCGCTTTATATCGATTAATAACCTTGGAGAATTCTCCGAGTTTGTTCAAACAACATACACCTTCCTTTTGCAAGACCTGCCCGGGCCCTCCACCATGCCGGACACGAGCCATGGTGTTTCCATCGCTGCTCTCGAAATCACGCGCTTCATTTGCACGCTCTGGAGAGACATCCATCCCGAGTTCTCTTTCAATGGCTTCTATTTCCCGAGGGGAGTGTCTGGGGCAAACCTAGACTTGACTTTGAAGGCCGACCATATCGCAATCAGTGGGTTTTCTGCGGTGTTCCTCCCCCCGGGCGTCCTCCAGGAAGCTGTAATAAAAGAAGTGAATGGTATGCATCAAGTGGACCCGCAGACACAAAATGCGCTTGAACAGGTATTTTGTAGTCTGCATCGTAACCCTTGGTCTCACTTCTCCCAGCTCGGCACTAAGATCGAGTTGCTGCAGCACATTGTCTCGGAACCTGTCTACCCACTGAAGTTCCGGGCTGACCTCGACATTCGGTTCGGCCTTCTCTTTGCCTATCCTTTCTTCTGCATCGTTGAAGACAGTAAGTCCACAGTTCAATGAAACGTATACCCGTGACTTTTTTTACTAGCGCATCGCGACGCCCTCGGCTACCGCGCCCTCCTACTGTCGGACGTCACCAGCTGCGCTCCATCATCTCCCCCAGAAAGACACCACTTGGCGTCCCTCATCGCGCTCTGGTTCGCGCTGTCAATTCCAGAACAGGACGTACACCATGCAGACGGCCGCATCACTCTCGGTGTTGAACTTCACCCCCGAGTTACACCCAACTTGAATCCAAGCGACCAGTCACCAGCTGAACCCAGCAACTCAACATCCGCGACACCCAACTTGAAAGTGCTGGACCGTATCGTGCGTGCTTGCTATTCAGATGAGGTATATCTAATACTACTTCATAGCACGTGCGGTGGACTGGGAGTTCTTCTCTCAGCTTACCCATAGCGGACATGCGTCTCATATCTCGTCAGCAACTTGAGATGCTGTCGACGGACTCGGATGGAAGCGACGACGATGAGGACGATGAGGAAGATTATGACGATTATAACTCGGATGACTACTCTGACGAAATGGACGATGTGGAGACTCCTCCAAGTAGTGACAATTTCGACGGGCTGTCAAATTTTAGTGGCTGCTCATCCAGAAGCCCGACCCCAGTCTCACCAGAAATCGCTGGGGATCCCGTCCAACTTACGATAACGGGAATAACCGGTAGCGATGACGCACAGCTCTACCATGCAGTGTTGGACATGGGCGGTACCAACCAACGGTCGATTTTGCTGAAGGCCATTGCACGAACACGAGCAAGTGATTTAGCTGACGAACTCGCTACATATGAACGACTCGATGCGAGAACGTCAGCAGACAAGTCCCCCAGCCTCGTTCCACAGTGCTGGGGTGCTTTCGAAGACCCGCGTTGTGCCTGGGTGGGAGCTATATTAGAGCATTCGGAGAGCTGCCCGCCATTCGATTCGTTGTCCCCCAACGAGAAGTAAGCAAGATTAATCATCACAAGATTGTTTGCTGATGTCCACAGAAACGGTGTCTATAATGCTCTGCGTCGTCTCCATAGTCTGGGTGTGCAACGCGGTTCTTTTCGCGATGAAGATGTGAGAAGGAGCCTGAGTGCCAACGGGGACTGGTGGATCACGAGCCTGCATGGGGCAAACTGTGAACATCAGTGTCCCGGGGAGGAGTGCGCGGAACTTGCAGACGCACGAAAGGCTTTGGGACTGTGAGCTTTTCGTGCAGCATTGTTATTCCGGTAAATATTGCAGAACTCCATTGTCAGCTAGCAGAATGGCACAACTCCAATTGGATTTAGTTCGCCAACATCGGAAGAAGTGCGACAGTCATATTCAAGTTTGGCGTGGGCGTTGAACGTTGAAGCTTTGAAGCGCAATGTGGACACGTCTTTCCGCCAGGGGGCGTGGATAATGTGTCGCACAAATTTGGAGAAGATTCAGCGTGTTATTTTATCTCGTCTACCAGATACTGTCCCCGCCCATTGATCAGCAACCCGCTTGGCTGCCCTTACGCACGTATACGTTTGACACGAACGGGGCCACAAAAGATAAAAACGCGCGGCAACTCGTTCAAGTTGGTCGAATCTTGATGAAGACTAGTTATAGCTTCGATGGACGAGGCATCTTGAGAGTCAAACAGAGTCTAAGGTGCTTGACAATTTCTGAAATCAGGCCCATGAACGCAAAGTTTGTGTAAACAGTAAAGCCGTATCGACCGTGTCCTGAGGGTCGGAGACTTGCTATGTTACTTCGGCATTCCACAATAGTCCACAACGCATCTTACCTTCCGTATAGCTACGGGTCCGACTCTGCAGCTGCCAATGGGTGGATGCTTTATTTGGCTTCAAGAGCGCTTTCGTCACGGTTGGCCCATAATCCGTGCTAGTATTGAATGTGAAAGGTAAGTATGTCGTTGGATCGTCTTATTTCGGGATCACGTGTCTAAACTTGTTTTCCAGGCACTGCCAACGGGACCACGGGTCGCGGTGCCCCAAACAGCTGCAGTCCCTGGCATGTTCTTTTGCATAAACCAGAGCCATTCAAATCAACCTCTTGTCGCTCGTCGCTAACCACGGTGAGCATACGACAAGGATAAAGTTCTCAATTGCGCGCTGACAATGGACAACAAGTTTTTTTCGGAAGACACTGCGAAGTTCTACCAAGCAAACCGGACTGCCGCACTGGGACCGGCGCTGCCAAAATCGCATAAGTTGCAACAGCCAGCAAGTGCTTCTATCGCTAGTCAAAAGCTCAGCTCCATGTTTATTGCTCTACATTGAAGAAAACGGCTCGGTCATATTGTTTGCGCGCTTTTACCACAACCCCGGGTCGTGTTGCTCGCAGAAATTAATCTATACGGCAAGTGCGATTGAACGCTCACCGGACGAAGATTGACTTTTTGCCTTCCAGGTTGAGTTGATGGCACTACCCAGCTGACGAGCAGGCTGCCATAGACCGGCCCAGTTACCAGATCACAGACCTAAACTCGTAATCGAATCCTTGCTCTCCAGCTTCTCCCACTCGCATCCCCTCGAACATACATTCGACAATGACCGCTCTCGACATCCCGCTTTTCGGCGGCCAAGGCGTATCTGCCAGCTCTCAGAAAGCATCTCGCCTCCAAGCGCTTCAAGACATGGAATCAGGAACAGGACTAACCGTTGCAACGGCGTGTCTTGAAGCTTTTCACGGAGAATTGGCTTCGCTTTCTCCTCCTGAACGCTCTCAGGCAGGCATCGACCTGGCCGACTTTCCATCTCCCGGCTCCCTCCTTGCTTTCGACGGCAAGTACTACAACAACCCGGTCATATCGAGCACATCGCTCTTTCTTGCACAAGTCTTGCGCTACCTTCACGTGATTCCACAAGAGAAGGCAACAGCGACTCCATTTCGAGACAGCTTGGGGCGTTTTCCCTTCGGCGTGCTTGGCTTCTCTTCAGGCGCTCTTGCCGCATGCGTCGTCGCCTCGTCAGACGATTTGGGTTCTTTCATCGGCTATGCGATCGAGGCATTTCGACTGGCGATTTGGATCGGGGTGAGAGCCATGGAGTATCGTACTCGGAGCCTGGCGAGTGGTGGTCAGATGGAAGAAAGCGACGCTATGTCCGCATCTTGGGGTGTCGTCCTCCTTGGCATATCGAAAAACAAAGCGGAATCGCTGCTGCGGAATTGGACCCAGCAGCAGAAAGAAACGGTAACACCCAACTTCTGAGGTCTTTGGCCACGACCGCTTACTCTCTTCAGGCCTCCGCCGCTATGCTGCTTTACATAACTGCGGTTCTGGACGAGACTTGTGTTACAATCTCTGGTCGGCCAGACATACTCCGCGCATTCGTGTCGACTTTGGAATTGCCTATTATGGCTCACGAGACAAGTTTGGACATGCTATACCATTCGCCAGACCATCAAGAGCTCAAGGAACAAGTCATGCAGGATATTTCCCGGCGAGCAATCAACTTCCCGACATTCGAAGACTTGAAGCAGCCGATTTTCAGTACTGCGAATGGCGAAGACCTCAAGCAAGCTGCCAGAGACACACACGCATCTCTCGTCGAGCTCATAGTTGATATGATTTTGACACAGCCGGTTAACTGGGACCAAGTTTTGCAGAGTGTGAAATTGAGAGTCGACAGCGCAACCGACGGCTCAAATACGAGATTAGCCAACTTCGGACCGGGTTCGGGTCTTCTACGAACGACGGAGAGGGCATTGCAACTGGCTTCCGTAGACTGGAGCAAGCGCGATGATATCGTCCGCGGGAAGCATGACCCGATCGCCATTGTCGGAATGGCCGTCAACATGCCAAATGCACCAGATAAACATGCCCTTTGGCAACTGTTGGAAAATGGCATCAACACAATTTCGGAGGTCGGTTGTTGACCCACTTGCTTGTTTATTGGCTAATGGGAGAGACAGATACCCCAACATCGATTCAAGGTCGAGGATTACGATGGTACCAAGATACCTGGACGGCAAATGAAAGCACATATGGGCAACTTCCTCCAGAACGTCGATGAGTTCGACAACACATTCTTCCAAATTAGCCCGCGCGAGGCAAAAAGCATGGATCCTCAGCAACGTTTGTTGCTGCAAACCGCTTACGAAGCTTTGGAAGACGCAGGTTATGTTCCGAACGCTACACCATCCTTCCGTCCGGAGACTTTTGGGTGCTATATTGGGGCAGCAACGTCAGATTACGTGCAGAATCTGAAAGACGACATAGACGTTTACTATAGTACTGGTTTGTCTAACAAATATGTTGTCTTCTGACCTCTGACTAAGCTCTTGCACAGGCACGCTCCGAGCATTCTTGAGTGGTCGAATATCATTTGCCATGCAACTAAGCGGGCCATCCATGGTTGTCGACACTGCCTGTTCTTCCTCGAATGTTGCTCTCTACCTTGGTGCTCGAGCAATCATCAACGGCGATTGCTCAGCCGCCTTGGTTGGGGGTGTGAATGTCATATCGAGTCCAGATGTACGCGTTCTAAACATCCTGCTTCATTCTCACCAATACTCTCTCTAGATGTTCATCGGTCTCGATAGAGGCCACTTCCTCTCCCCATCTGGCCCTTGCAAGGCCTTTGACGCTTCAGCCGATGGCTACTCTCGGTCGGAGGGCTGCGGTCTTTTTGTCCTCAAGCGATTGTCCGACGCAGAAAACGAGCATGACCAAATTCTTGGTGTCATTCGCGGTGTCGAAATTAACCAGAGCGGCAACGCCCACTCGATCACTTATCCCCACGCCGGGACCCAGGCAATGCTCTTCCGCAAGGTCCTCGAAACTTCTGGCATGTCACCAGAAAGGGTCAATGTTGTCGAGGCGCACGGCACGGGAACACAGGCTGGCGATCCAAATGAAGTCGCCAGTCTGCGGGCTGTCTTGTGCGGGAATGAACGAGAACAAGGAAACCCGCTGCACATTACCTCTATCAAAGCCAATATCGGCCACCTGGAGGCTGCGTCCGGCGCTGCTGGCCTTGCCAAGCTGCTTCTCATGTTCCAGCATCGAGCGATACCTGCCCAAATCTCGTATCAAACACGGAACCCTCTGATCCACCCTTGGGACGAAGATGGGACAGTTATACCAACAACTTGTCTTGAATGGCACCCTGCTATTGTGGGGCTTCCCCGAGTGGCGATGCTGAACAACTTCGGTGCTGCTGGGTCCAACACTGCCGCTGTGCTTGAAGAGTATTGTCGTCCTAGTAAATCAGATGATAGTGGCTTGTCGTTTGTTTTTGGCCTTTCTGCAAAGACTGCTGTTGCATTGGAGAAACTGAAGCTCAAGTACATTGACTGGCTCAATTCTTCAACATCCAACAACCTTGCAGATATCTCTTACACCATGACTGTTCGCCGCCAACTATTCTCCCATCGCATTGCTGTATCTGCTAGTTCACATTCTGAGCTTATTCAGAAACTCTCAGCCAAATCTTCTCTTTCTTCACTGCCATCTCCAGAATCAGCTGTAGTATTTGTTTTTTCTGGTCAAGGAGGGCAGTATATAGGCATGGGCCATATGTTATATCTGAGCAATTCTCTTTTCAGAGCATGCATAGATGAGTGTGAAAGCATCTTGCACAGTGTTAACAAGGGTTTCCCTAGTATATTGCCTATAATCATGGGAGAAGCAAGCAGTAGTCAAAATTTACTTGAAGTGGTAGAGGCAAATCAAACTGCCTTGTTTGCACTTGAATGTGCTTTAGCAAAGATGTGGATGGGCTGGGGTATTATACCTGTTGCAGTTGTTGGCCACAGGTCTGTTTTCTGGTTCAGAATTAATTTATGCTAAACTATACATAGTCTTGGTGAATATGCAGCTCTTGTTACAAGTGGAGTTCTTTCTCTTAGATCTGCCTTGCTGATAGTTGCTTTGCGTGTTCACTTGATGGTCTCAAAATGCAGTCTTGGAACAACAGGAATGATTGCAGTAAACCTTGTATTGGATGATATCAAGAATCTGCTTCAGCAAGAGAGTCTCTCTGAGCTTGTTATTGCCTGTTATAACTCTCCAAAGGACTATGTTCTCTCTGGACCTCTGAATCAATTAAAGAGACTTGAGGCTATTTTAAACTCATCTAACATCAGAAACACAATCTTGGCTGTGCCATTTGGATATCATAGTCCTGTGATGGAATCAATCCTTTTAGAACTTACACAGGCTGCTACATCATATAAGATATCTCCTCCTATCATTCCAATAGTCTCAAATGTTCTTGGTCAGATGATTCTGCCTGGCAATACCCAAACCTTTACAGCAGAGTATTTTGCTCAGCATTGCTCTCAGCCTGTATTCTTTGAGTTAGGCATAATACAACTTTTTGCTTATATACAGCAGCCAGTTACATTTATAGAGATTGGGCCACACACCTCGTGTTTAGCTATGCTTAGTGCACACCCTGCTGTTGCTCTTCATAAAGCCTCTCTATTAGCTTCTCTTAGAAGGCAACAACAGGAATCACCATCTTCAACTCTATGTGCAAGCCTTGCTAGTTTATATGTTACCAAAGCTGGAAACATGATACAATGGCCAAAAGTATTTGCAGACATTCCTGATGTCTCTTGTATCAATCTTCCTAGCTATCCATTTGCTAGTAGTAAATTCTGGGTTTCCTTTCAAGAAACTTCATCTCAGGCTCTTGCCAGTCCAATAAAAGCCAGTAGTAATTACACAGTCTTAGCATCATCCTTTCTGCATCAGTGGACCCAATATCCTTCATCAGATAATAGGTTTACTGCTATATTTGAGACTCCTATTGCCCAACTATCATCATGGATAAGTGGGCATCAAGTTGGAGGCCAATCACTCTGTCCTGCATCTATCTATATTGAACTTGCACTAGCTGGTATTACACTTGGCAAGAGACATCTGCAAAATGAACATTATGATAATCATATAATTTTGCAAAAAATGGAGTTTCTAAGGCCACTTGTGTATGATAAAGAAAAAGAATACACAATAACAACTCAGATTACTCTCATGCCAGGAGCAGGATCTTTTGTTATTACTTCCTATCCAACTAGCAATAATTCTTATAAGGTGATGCATGTCCAAGGAAAATTCAAATATCATTCAACTCTTCAAACTACAACAAAATTTGTTCAACAGCTTCCCAGAATCCAAAAGCAGGTTAATACTATTATTCAGTCTCAGAACAATGATCTTGACTCTCAAATCCAAGTTCTCTCAACTCAAACAATCTATCAAGAGATTTTCTCACAGATTGTCAACTATACAGAGCAATATCATACTATTCAATCTTTGACTATCAGCAATGATGGTTTAGAGGCTATTGCAACAATACAAGTTTCTTCAGATCATAAGAAGTGCATTGTCAACCCAATCTGGATAGACACACTTTTACATGTTGCTGGCTTTTTGACAAACCAGAATAGCTATGATGATTATGTGTATATTTGTATACACATTGGTTCTCTCAAAGTCATTCCAGAGCTTATTCATAATGAAAAAGCCTATCTGATATACTCTACCAACACTTGGTATGACAACAAACACATAATTGTTGCAGATAGCTATGCTCTTACAACAGGAGACCCCAAACGGATTGTAGCTTATATGAAGGGAATTCAATTTCAAAGAATCAAATCCAATATGCTTTATAAAAGTTTGGAGATTGCAGATATAGATAATGTGCAGGCTGTCCATCAGCCTCAGCCTTGGCTGAACTCTCAAAATGAAACAATATTATTCAGTAACCAGGAGTCTTTGGATATTATACTTCAAGTCATTGCTACTGTCTTACAAGTTGACTTGAGTACATTAACCTCTGCAACAAGTCTGGATATGCTAGGATTAGACTCTCTTGCAGCTATTGAAATACTGTATAAGCTAAAGTTGAACTTGGGATTAGATTTACCAAGTAATTTCTTTTTTCAGTATCCAACAGTGAAAAGTATCCAAAGATACTTTTCTTCTATCTCTTCATCTGCTCAAATAACTTCAACAATCTTGCCTCAAGTGCAGCAACAATTATCTATTGCAGAAACTCAACAGATAGCAACTAAACCTGTTGTTATCCAACAATCAGATTCAGACAAGCCCCCACTGTTTCTTATTCATGATGGCAGTGGATTTGCCAACTGTTATGATTTATTATCACCACTTGATCATACTATCTGGGCAATACATAACCCACAGGTATTGAGTCAAACATCTTGGAGCAGCTTGATAGATATGGCAAAAGCATATGCAGTCTCTATTCTTTCTACAACTCCTGGCCCAGTACTGCTTGGTGGTAAGATTTATTATTATTTTGATGCTGCTTATTAATGCTTGTAGGATGGTCATTTGGTGGTGTTGTTGCCTATGAGATTGCATTGCAGCTTACTGCACAAGGGATACAAGTAAAGGGAATAATTCTGATTGATTCACCCAGTCCTATCAATCATACTCCCCTAACACCTCCACTGATCAATCACATCCTCACACTGGAGAATCCCAACATTCATAATGCCAAATCTGCTGCCTTGATCCAGAAACAATTTTCTAGCAGTTCAGAGATGCTGTCTAGATATGTTCCACATGCAACAGCAAGTCTGTGCCCACCACTTGTACTCCTGCGTTCAGTGGAGGGATTCAGTCCTAGCAATGGAGACAAGATCCAAGTACCTAAATGGCTGGAAGATAGAACTGATTTACAAACCAGTGTTGCTGGTTGGGAGAGTCTTGCACACTGCACAGTCAAAGTGTTAGATATTCCTGGTCATCATTTCAGTGCTTTCCATCCTTCAAATGTGAGTATTCTCTGATAAGATATATACAAATATTTATCTCTCTATTTGCAGGTGGAAATGTTGTCATTAAGAATAGCTGATGCCTGTGAGTACCTTGAAGGACTATGATTTACTATATGTTGTCCATTTTGTATTGCTCAAGACCTGTAAACACTTGAATATCAGATCCAAGGAAGCTTTTTGTTAGCTATGCTAAGAGTGTGTTACAAGTGATTTCAGGTACGTATAAAGCAGAGATAGATAATAACAAAATTAAAACCCAGGTTTACGACTTGTCCTTTTTGGCTGTTTCCGTGTTCCAGAGCCGCCCGACGGCTCCAGCGATATCCCAATAAGGTTGGCCAGCCGTTCCCTCTCTGCCCGCTGGCCCGGATCCTCGTAGACAACACGAAGACTCTGCTCCTGATCCTCCGCGCCAACACTCAAACCCTCATAGCCCTCCGTGGTATTCGGACTCTGTGACCTGTCCCCACCGAGCACAGAGATGTTGGCCGGCTCGACCGGAACGGTGTCAGAGGCCTGCCGCGACTGCGCCTTCCGCTGCTGCGCTCGACTTCGCTTGACAGCCCGTCCCATGTGCACGTGATCGGTGTCTTCTGGTGTCGCTGGACGCGGGTGTTTCCCGAGAAGGGAAACCACGCTTTCTTCAAAGGCTCGTTTTCGCTGTTCGGACGGCTTCGGCGGACTGATGCTCACGCCGCGCTTCAGAGGAGAAGGTGATTTTGATGAAGGTATCGCGGGGGCGGGTGCTGGGTTCGACACAGGTCGAGGAGCGGGAGGCGTGGGTGTTGGAGTCCGAGCAACGGGCGGTAAAGGCAGTATGGCTCGGGCTGGGCTGGGCGGATGGTGCCTTTTGGGTGGACTGGGCGAAGGTGGTGGTCCATCGCCTCCCAATAGCAAGCTTGCTCGACCGAACTGTAGCCCCCCACTCGACTGTGGCGATCGAAGGGGAGGCAAGGATGGGAGGAAAAACGCCTTTTCGGCGGGGGGAGGAGAATGGGAGTCCTGGCTGTCTATTTGACCATCAGAATACTTACTGGTGGACGAAAAAACAAACAACGCACTATTGGTAATGTCCTGCATTTGTACCACGTCTTCTGCCTTTTGCTTTCCTTTGGCGGTGTGCGATTTGGAAACACCAGGCAGCGAACTGTGGCTATCGTTCACCAAAAACGGTTGGACATCAGGTATAAGACCTGTCCGAGCTATCTCTGCTAGCCAACCAACGCTGATAATGGGAGTTCCCCATCGCAAGGCATGGTCGTACTTGGCCCCCGAGCCGCTCGGGCAAAGCAGATGTGTGGATTGCCTTGAAAATGCGGTCGCAATGGTGATTCCTGGACTCGGGTCAAATGTGATCAAGTTCCAGAGAATAAAAACTGACCCAGAGCTTTCATCAACCTCCGTATCCAGCATGCCTCCGATTGATCAAGACCAGAGAAGCTAAGCACAATCTTGTAGGCACCTGTAAATGTGTCAGCTGTGTCGCGGGATGGCGAACAAAATGTCAACCTTGGACGGGAAGGTGAATACTAAGAGGTAAGAACGTGATATGCTCGTCTATTGCACAGACACGCTCCATTGAAAGACACTGTTCAAGCCAGCATTCGGTCCGGTACCGTGACCGCAACTCAGACGATGTTTCTCGAAGGAAAAGGCTACTCCCCCTAGTCAAAAGTCAGATTTAAGGTGGGTCTCGGAAGAGAAGCTCACGTACCCTACAAGCCGCACAATAATGTATTCCGCTCCGCCTGAGTCTTCAACTACTCGACCACCAGCATTTCCGATAGCCTCGCGCACATTTGTGGTGTCTGTCTCCCCATGAAGGAAAAAAAGAAACGCCAGAGAAAACTGCTGTTGGTGACACCGGGGGCTGCTCTGCTTGAACAACTCGAGACGATCCAGCGTCCGCAATGGTGGCTGCACGAACAAAAGGCAATCGACTGGGTCCAGCTTGGGGGATCACGACCGTGTTGGCTCGCCTGAAGCTCGAAATGACGCTGGGTGCCTTGTCCACGGGGGCCTTTGCTGACGGCTGCTGTAATTTCTTCTTCTCCTCCAGTTCGCGCGCTTTTTTGGGACTCAACATGACTTTCCCGCCTTGATTGAGCTCGTAACCACGTGGTTTTAAAAGACTCTCCCAGAGTGCCAAGGTGACGGTGGGAACGCGTGAAACAGACACAAATTCGTCTGCATCCGGCTCTCCTTCCTGGACGGCGCTTGGTGTGTCAATACTTGGTAGGCCAGTATCGTGGGGGTTGGAGGGAAGAGGATCGGTGGTGGCTGTGATGCGTTGAGGATGGGAAACAACACATAACAATAACACGAACTTGGTCGTTCAATTCGGGGCTGTCGCACGTCATAACGTGTCTCGTCGAATCGGCCTATAAGACCGTTGGATGATGAGGCAATGATTAAATTTTCGTACGCACCTCCAAACTCGATGCAATCCCAGAACCACTCTTCCCAAATGAGTTGAATTGGAGGGTCAGCCTCCTTGGCACGATTGAATTTGTCAGCGTAGTGCATCTTGTCTGTTTCTTCCTCGCCGCCGCAAAGTAGGTGGGTAACAGAAACAGGCCGTTTCAGCTCGGCCATGTACACCCCGCCATGCTTCTGGAGCTCTTTGACTATCTGTGTCCGCCGGGTTATCTTGAGACCAGATATGCACAGAGTGACCCCAGAGAATATGGGGAGACGATGCTTAGCAATGCTCTTGGGAAATAAAATGGGTTGGCGCGAAAGCAGACGAGAGTTGTGAATAACACACCTCCTCTAGGTCGACATCATCTCCGTGCTGCCATATGCGGTGGCTCTCTATAATCCAGGAAGGTGTGAGGATCGGGATTTTGCGTTCTAATGCACACTGTTACGAATGTTGGAAAAGAGCCCAGGAGATTGCCTGCCACGCACCTGATACTTCGCCCCGCCGTGTTTCTCCGCAATAAGGTGGGTGACACGGTCGGTAAACGCGCTAATCGGCGACGCGCCGAGCTCGATGGCAAATTTAAATATGGAGGCCTTGTCCGCCAACCCGGTGGCACATAAAACCACGTTCTTGAAGGGCCTGGGACACGTGCCGGGCAGCATTATCGTGTCGTCGCTGCCCACAATCTGGCTGTCTTGAATAAACAGCGACGGCTCGGGTGAGACGCGTCGTGTAGTGGGTGGGTCAGCAGGTCGCAGACGGACATTGGGAATCTACTCCGAGTTAACCTCAAGTCACTAAAACGCGAGAATACCGCTCACTTTTTTCGACCTGTGTCCTCGCCGGTTCATCGAATCGACGCGTTGTTGACCAGAAATAACGGCGTGACGGTCACATCTTGCCAACTTTTCCTTTTCCTCGATGCTCGGAAAATAGTAAGTTGAATCCAGACTGGTGCCTCGGCGGAGTAAATCGGCTGCGAGTACTTGCACAAGTCCATTGCTACTATGTGCCTACTTCTACAGTAGAGAAGATTTCCGCAAAATCAGCACGAGACATAATGATCATGACGCATTTTGGGACATCGCCAGGACGTCGAAAACATTTCGAATTCTTGCCTCGACATCTCAAAGTCTACTCCCTGCTTGCTGCAAGCGATCCAGGATCTGCTGAGGGTCTACTTCAAGCGGCTTCAAGCCAATTGGAGGATGCAGAACAACAACATGAAAGTACTTGCGACTGACACTGGTAGGCTATGTCTTTTGTCGACGTGGATCCGCTTGACAACGAGCGGGACGCATCAGTCAAGGCCACGGCAAACCGCTGCGTTTAAATACAGCCTCATTGGTTTGGGTCGGCTCCAACTTCTCTTCGACACGTTAAGCATGAATGGCGTGTCGTTGAGCGACCAACCACGATTGCCTTCTGAACACACGTTACACGAAGATGCGACAACAGAGGAAGTCTTTTGGGAAATAAAGAAGCAAACGACTTAACTCACTCCACTTTCCTTCGTCGCTCCCCTTCCATCATCTTTTCAACTGTCTTCTAGGATAGGATAGGATAGGATAGCATTACGCGGCACGGTCCCACTGAGGAACACCAGTTTCCGGGGATTGGCCCGATATACATAATGCATAGCCAGTGCAGTAATATGAACATCTTCGTCCCGGGATTCCAAACAGTTCCAAGTTGAGCTCACGCCCAGTCTCCCAAGCGCTGTAGAACCTAGTCTGTGAATGGAATCAGAATCAGTGAACCTAGCCCATTGACTCAAGGAAGTCGAGGAATCCTTGGTAAATTTTGCAGCCCTTATTTATTTGATTAAACTGTAGGAGTACAACGTTTGTACGGAGGTATCATCAGTGGTTATTAAACAATAGCTTATTAGTCGTCATTGTCGTTGGGAGGAGGAGGTGGAGCCGTTGCAGCCTTTTCCATCGCCTTTCGTATGGGGTTTTGCTCTTTGGGTAAAGCCCCCGTCCGCTCGAGCCTGTCGAAGAGGACAAACAGTTTCTCCATTTCGCGCTCCTTTTCTTCCTGCGTCATCTCTGGCTCTGGCTCCCGCGGCGCATTTGTCGTGCCCGTGATGGGATTGATGCTGGGACTCGAGGCAGCCGCCAGCGCTGCGGCAGTCGACGGTGAAGTCGAAGTCGAAGGTGGCGGTGCAGTCATGATTCCCTTGTTGAACAGGAACCCAGCGACATTCCCGTAGCCCAGCAGGGTGGACATGGTAGACACATCAGAGTCACACATCGCGTACAACATTTCCCCAACCGAGTCCTTGAGTCGCGCATGGTAGACGCTCCCCAGAAGTCGCAGGCACCGTCCAAGCATATCTGGCCGGCTTTCGAGACTCCCAGCAGCCGCACTGCGATCCAGATCGGCAGGGCATAGCCAGTCACGGGTTCGCGTGCGGGAATTCTCGTCTGCGTTGCACAAACGGGTGATGAGTACAACGAGCGGCGACAGCTCATCGTCGAGAGATTCAGCCGGTGGGGACAGAGTTGATTCCGACTTGACTTTATCCCGCACAGAAAGGTCGTCTGGCTCGGTCATCTCGGGGAAGTAATGGGTGAATGCTACTTCGAGCAGTGAGTGGGCTCGAAGGAGGGTGTCTTTGGGTGACGGTCTCGGTGGGATGGGTGATGGAGAGCGAGAAAGCGACCGTCGACCTGCTGAAAGTACTGATAATGCTCGATCTAGAGGGCTGCTCTTGCCAGTCGGCGATGTTGGGCCGCCAGATCTGACCGGTGAATGGGTTCGGCTCGAAGACGACGATTCCGTTCGCTGCATAGTTGGCTTTGGCGAAGACGAGCCGCTTGATGTGAACCATTCGGATCTCAGCGTTGGTGTTATCGGCACAACAATGAGTGAATGAATGGCATGAGTCAACGGGGCAGCAATAGGAGTAGGGAATGTCGGAGGGAGTGCATGGAATACACGTAAAAGTGGTGGTAGAATGCTGTCGAGTTTGGGACTCCAGCTGTCGCCAATGACCTTGCCGTCTGACGGGCCATCGAGAGACTTTGGATAGTGCATCAGAACGTTGAAAGTGAACTTGAGCACATCGACCATGGCTTCCTTGGATGTTTTGGCTCCGGAGAGCAGGCTGGTGATGAGCAGATCGAGCTTGGCGCCAACGACTTCAACGACACGTTTCTCTTCCACGAGGGCAGTGATGAACTGAGATGGGTGGACTGTCGAGAGGAAGAGGATACGCGAAAGAATGAATATTTGATCTGGATTGGACGACTTCTAAAAATTCAATGTGAGAAAGGTCATCCGCAAAGAGTTTGCTTTATTACCTGTAATAGGTCGATACAGACGTCTCCACCCTTTACCTGGCTGCTGATGAAGGCCGTTCGGGCAGGCTCAAACAAGAGCAAGGCATTTGCAATACAACGTAGTCCCTCGCCGGAGGCTTCAATGTCGTCCTTGTGCGTTGAAACGATCTTCAATAGCGTAGAAAGGATCGGAGCAGTTCCAAGCGACTCAGAGCCAGTCGGATTTTTGCCGAGTGTCTTCAGTGCAAGAAGTGCGGTAGCCGCATCTACAAGACAATCAGACCCACGGATGGCTCAATAAAGTATTTACTTTGCGCCGTTATCTTGCCATTAACCACCTGCAAATCGGCCAACAATGCCTGGATGAACTCCGACCTTGAGGTTCGGTCGAATGCGAATGGGCTCGCTATGTTGTGTGGTCATGATATCGTATCGAGTCGACAAGAAAGAGAGCATACCATTGATTACATCGTTCAGAACGACATTAACGTTGTCTGGAGTGGCGGCTCTATACCGCTCAAGGAGGGTATTCGCCATGATGGGGCCGAAGTCCGGTCGGTTGTGGTTTCTAGTCAGGTGTACGAGTGTGACGTGCGGAACAAGTTGCAACCAACCACGACAATGCCGCAAGCTGCTGGAGACAGCCCGCAGCCATTTCTGTCTCTCGCAGCGTCCATTCAGCACTCCCAAGATGCCCTGCGTCTCTGGTCAGGTATGTATCACTTTTTCCCTCCCGTCAGACTCTTTTATAAATAACCCCCAAAAAAGTGCTGTCGAAGTTCCCAGATGCAATTCACCATGGGCGAAGAGCGGAGAATATGGCCTGGCGGTTAGCCTGGAGGGACTCACGGAGGCCGCCACAAGTTTGGCCACCAACTCCCGAATCCTTGTCCAGTGGTGACGACGCCAAATCTGCCTTCCAGCTGGCTCCGAGAAGACGAGGTGAGTTTTATCCGTCTCTTTTCCGGCTACTGCTCCTGGCTAATCATTACTTAGAAACTGTGGGGAGGGCCATCCACTCAATGATTTCGACCAATAAGGTTTCTGTACCGAAGAAGCCGGGGTACCCCACCCCCGCCTCGAGTTCAAGCTCGTGTGCTTCGTCTCTCGTTTCTATTGCCGTGCAAGTCCCACAAGAGCCAGACGTTGTCGTTCCTCGAGTAGTAATACTCACTCCAACCCCAAACCTCAGTCCACATCCAACACCACCAGCCACTCCTCAACTCACCGGGACAGCTTCTCCAACCAGGACACCTTCGCCTGTGGCCCTATTACCACCACCTGTACCATCATCTCCGATATCTCGCAAGGAACCACAACAACAACAACAACCCGTATTCTTGTCACGATCCGCTACTCGCGGCATGGGCTCGCCAAATTCACCGCCCCAGCAATCAACGCATATATTACCCCTTGGCGGCCAATCTCGTCCGCCGCCGAAGGCGGCTAGCAAGTTTTTCCTGCATGCGGGTGCTAGCTCACATAGCTCTTCACATTCAAGTGGGCAATCGAGTGGAAGTAGTGAAAGCTCTAGGGAACGGGAAAGGGAGAGAACGGAAGAACTAGAGGAGGAAATTAAGCGACGTCAGGCATATACGGGCGATGCTCGTGGTCGTGGACGGACAAGTCGCAGTGGAAGCGGGAAAGAGTTGGACAATTTGGCCCAACCCACGGCCGATATTCCAACAACAATACAGAAATCGATCACACACGATCCCCAGGCTCCCAAACCACGCAAACCGCCGTCTAGGACCGTATCGGCGCCATTTCTCGCTATGGATGCGACTACCGGAACTTCTAGACCAACAGCAGTCGATTTGGACGACACGAGGTCCGTTAGTTCCCATGCGACATCCTCATCGCATGCAAAGATTAGGAGTAATCCACGCGGTAACAAGCAACCACCTCGCCCTGGGCTGTCACGCGACAAGCATAGCACTACGAATTCTCGGTCGCGGTCACGAGCTTCGAAGAAAAACGCAGCAACCAATGATCTTGGGTTGCCGTCTAATCTTGCAGCAGCCGTTGCTTTTGTGGAGCGGGGGAAGCGAAGGACAACGACGATCGTGTTGGCGACAAGTGATGAGGATGACGATAGCGAATGGAGTGACGACGAGGTTAGCCAGGAGAAAGACGAAGAACAGGAGAAAGATGAAGAGTGGGAGGATGAAAGTGAAGAACACAAGGCGCCGCCACCATCTTTGCAGCAGAAACCTCCCCGTACCCAGAGCTCTTCCGAACTGCGCCATTTGCCAACCCGGCCAACCCATCGATCTGCTGGTAATCTCCATGGTCTTGCTAAACAGACAAAGCATCAGCGTCACATGTCAGAGAGGACGGTTTCAACTACCGCACTCCCTTCCGCAACCAAAGCCAAGGAAAGTCTGATCGCCAAGGTCCCGCGGGTTAGCTACGAAAACCTCCCCCAATTGGCTGCATCTCGGCCCAGTGGGCTCACTTTACTGCTCGGTGGAGTGCAAGCGTACCAACCTACAATTCCACAACGACAACGGCCTGCTGGAGGGTTTGGCGGACTAGGTTTGGCCATGACAAGCCACCCACCAGTCGCAGGACCTGGTGGGGCAGTATTGTCGCCTGTTCCACCCACACCGGCAGAAGCAAACAAGCATCAACGCAATTCTTCTATCCCTCCTCGTCCTAACATGCCTCGCGCAAAGTCGAGTAGCGCCTTGCCTCCGCACTTCAACATCAGCGGATCTCTGGGGAAGAGTCCGGTTGCCGGACCGGTGGTGACTACCCCGACACGTGATTCTCAAAATGGAAGTGGTGGCCGAAGCGGTGGTTATCGACCCAAGGGACCACCTGCGGAAGCGGAGTTTGATGACGATGATGAGTCGGACGCGGATGGCCGGGGGCTTTCGAAGAGTATTGCCCATGAAAAGCTGCGGTTGTTAGCCCAGCGCAGCGATATTCAGTCATCCAAGGGCAAAAACTCGGATGTCACTGAGAGCCAAGAACGACGCCGACTGTACGAGCAAGCTGGCGTTCCAGACTGGGCATCACAAGAATCGTCTTCATCCAGCCGACATCAACAACAGCAGCAACAACCACAACAAGCGGCAGCAGCAGCCCCTGCCGCTCCAGTTCCTTTCCCGTATTATCTCCAGCCCCCAGCACCTCCGTCCACACCGCGGACCACCCGCCAACAAATGCTGCGCAACGAAATGTCGGAAAGTTTGCGGCATAACCTACTTTGGCATCGCAAGCAAAGTCGGAACGAGCTCAGTGGGCCACAGCCACGAAGAACGAGGAGTACCGTCAATGTCCCGGCCGAGAAAACGCTTGTGCGATTAACTCCACGCCCGCCTGGTGCGGAGCCAAGAGCAGATTTGCAGCAAGGACAACAGGAAGGCCCGCAGAAGAAGAAATTGGTGAGAAACTTGAGTTGGGCGGACACTTCTGATTTCCACCGGTCGGGGTGGTGAAAGCAAACAAAGCAACTAATACTATTACTCTACTTTTTTTTTTTTCTTTATGCTATCTCGCTCGTTTACCTTACCATCCACTCGCTTTCGAATCCACTGTACCACTACCACTTTGTACATGCATGTAATGGGCATTTTTTTGGAATCAATCACAGGTGTGACGCTGTTGTGACAAGACGTGTCGACATCATGACCAGAGCGGCCAAATTGGGGGCAGAGATGGCGCGTATCGCTACGGCGTGCCCTACTGACCCTCTCCGACCACATATACAACTCCGCACTCTCCTCAACTCACTTGCGGCACACCCAAAACTGACGCCTGGCGTGGTAAATGCTGCCCAAACGCTGGAGCGGAACGAAATTAAGCAGAGGGTCCGTCTGTTTTTGTTTTCGTGTGCCTTTTCTCTCTCAATGACCTGGGCCTTTTGCAGTATCCGTTGACGGACAAGATCCTCAGGCCGGCCTCTGTTCCATTGCACTACGAAAAGCTTGTTGAAGGGGTGGAGAAGAGCATGCAGGGGATCAAGCGACCGTGGTGGAAGGTGTTTTTCGGGGTTTGGTAGTCAATGGTGAGTCGTCTTTGCCAACAGCAGTGGACGATGAACACTCGACAGTTATATTCGTATCGTCTGCCTATAGAAGTCGTCAAATAATTTTAGTACTTAGCGACATCACACCTGGGCCAAACCAGCAGGTGAAACCGACACACCCTGCGGTTGGCTCACAACTTTTACAGTAACGCAACGCAGCCAGTCATTGATATCTTTGGCATCTGCCCTTCGTGAACTTCAGCCTCTGGTCATAGGTCTTTGACAGGTCGTCTACAACGCGAAGCAAATCCCAAAATGCAGGGCTAGTCCGGCAAGTGTCCGATGATGCTCAAATAGAACCCGGATTTCGACGCGTGCTTCTCGATCCAGACGAACCAAGTCACAGATACTAACAGTTGGAATCTGTTGGAATACGAGCTCATTTACAGAGTGTGGTATCTGGCTTGATCCAAATTCTGCTCAACTCCAAGTCGTGCGAAATTCTCCGACTTGGATTCTTCGTCAATGCCTGCTGGGCTCGAATACGATCATTATTTTGGGTTTGGTTGTCGGGGTCATATGTTGAGTCATTGTTGGAACGCATATCGGTAATTGTTTATCAGGACCTTGTTCATCCAACGAACATCTCGGATTCGTGGTGAGCCAGCCTGAGGTTGATGAAGAACCTAAACTAGTTCTGGTCGCACTATGAGGTGGAATATCTTTTCGTTGCGGACCCCATAAAGAATGCCGAATGGGGACATACCGCTGGGATTAAGGATTTGAGTATTTAGATAACCAAGTTGCGCCTTTCCGATGTTCCCGTGAAGAAATGTTTACCGTGCCAACGCTGAGCGGCCAAAGTAGGACTCGTTTAAGTAAGTTGCTTGCAATAATTGGTTGTTGTTGGTGAACTCAACCCAAGTCCAAGTCACAAATCACGTGCACGCGTTTGTCTCCCACAACTTGCCCACAACAAGTGATCAGCTTCTGCAAGTTGCCCTCCCTGCGCGCCTGCAACGGCGTCGAGTCAGCGCTTAACTACGGCCCCGGGAATTACTCCCGCTGCCGTTAGTTCTGAAGATTGATATGCAGGCATGAAACAATACTAATACATCGCTGCTCGCTACTTTTTGCTACTTTTGGAAGACATTCTTCATAACTTCCCTCCGCCGAGTCAGCTCTTTAACAAAATGCTCTGCCTGCTTCCACTCTCTTTCTTTGCCGTTTCGACGTCAGCCTACATTTGGCCCAGCCCATATGACTTTCTGGAGGACGCATATACCGTCTCGGCGGGGTTTGGCGACGGCGGAATTGTCGGAGGTGTCGATCCGTGTTCCCTCAGCCCAATTGGTGGCAGGAAGCCCGGAAGGGTGGCTGCGGCTGAATGGGTTAGACTGTCTGTGTTTTAGGTGTCGATTCGTGTGAACCATTCTGACGCTTGCCAGAGCATTTCACGACGCGTCAACCTTCGATATTCACACAGGACTCGGGGGGGTGGATGCGTCGATTGGGTTTGAGACTAATCGCGGGCAAAACATAGGCGCAGGGATGAACGATAGCTTGGTGTTCTTTGGAGCATTCCAATCCAAGACTTCTTCTAGTTGGTTGCGTCCATTTTCTAATACCGAATGCTGATTTTTCACGACAGTGGCCGACGTAATTGCCTTGAGGCATGTTGTGAACGTGACCATACTTAGTCTGGGACTCTAACCCTTCTGCAGTGCTATTCTCGCAGTAAAAAATTGTGGTGGCCCGAGCATCCCATTTCGTGCTGGCCGCTTGGACGCAGAAGCTGCTGGTCCTGAGACGGTCCCGGAGCCTCAACAGGATCTGGCTTCGCACATCGCTTCATTCCAGAATCAAGGATTCAATGTCTCTGAGATGATAACTCTCGTTGCTTGTGGACACACTCTTGGTGCGGATTTGGTTTCAGCTCTTCGCTGTGAAGTAATCAACGCCATCAGGCGGCGTTCATGCTGTCGATTTCCCGCTTACTATACCGCCATCCGCCATTACTTCGAGCAACCCAGATGGTGTTGTTCACTTTGACGACTCCGTCGATTCCTTTGACAACCATATGTGAGCACACCTGTTTTTTTTCGAAGCTTAATTTGACCATTTTATCAAGCGCTACTCAATACGTCGCTGGAACGTCTACAAATCCCCTCCTGGTTGGTGCTAATACGACCACCAATTCAGACGCCCGCATCTTTGCAGCCGACGCAAACCAAACAATGCAGGCTTTTGCTGCAGATCCCAACTATTTCAAGGCACAATGTGGACTGTTGTTAGAGCGAATGCTCAACACCGTTCCCAGTAGTGTTCAACTTTCCGATTTCATCGAGCCCTTGCCCATCAAACCCTTTGAACTCACTCTCACTCTGGGAGGAGACTCGGATGGGCGGCTTAGTATGGGAGGATACATTCGTGTCTGTGTTCTTTTGCTATACTGTCCATCCGTTTTATCACATTTCAGGTGTTCGGTACTTCAGATGCAGCAAAGGTGGCGGTCCCTTCACAAATGCCCATCACGTGCGCATTTTATTCCTTTGCACATCCTGATGCTCACCTTCCTGTAGACTGAGCTGGAAGGACATGAATGGAAACGCTAACACAACATATATCACGAATCTTGCGGCGGTGTCTCAAACTAGCTCTAGTCTCTGGGGCAGCGTCCATTTCTTCGAAATCAACGCGGCCATTGATATCCGATTCGGAATCTCCTCGTTCGTCGTCGACTGGGCATACGGCCAGGATGCCAACCCGACCCACTCTGATAATGGCGGACAAGGCTTCCCGTTGCAAAGCGCCGTTTTATTCCAACCTAATGGGAGCTGCACAAAAACGATATTTGGCGAACCTGGCAACACTACTGCACTGGCGCTTGTTATTGTTCTGCTATTTGTCGATTGCAAGCTCTGATCGCCGCTTCAACAGATCCGCACTGATTTAGGCCCCGTTTCGACCGCCTATGTTGACTACACGTACAACATCAACCAAGTAGGCAGCATCTCCGTCAAGCAGGTGACGACTCGGACAGAAATGCGGCGTGTCGGCGGTTCCACCTCGCCTTGGTATGACACGTATAGCGCGACTTTCTACAAAGGACCGATGACGGACGAGGGGCGAATCACCTTCGATATTGTCGCTGTTGTGGGTGGCAAGACATTCAGTGTTGCTAATAACCCGGAGATATTTACACCGTGTCGGGGCACCTAGACTGTTTGATAAACCAACTACCCAGTGTTCTGTGCGATGGTCAAGCATGATGTATGCCTTTGCCCTAATCCATCCCTAACCACTGTTGTCCTTGTTGAGTATATTGACACCGTATTGCTTGACGCCAATTGGCTTGTGCACCAGAATGCAAGTCACGACCCAGGCATACATAAGTAACCAATTCAAATTTTAAGGATGCAGCGGCATCAATCAACCATCTGTACCCTTACGACCATGTCGAAAGGCCTTGCTCCTTGTCCTTACCTAGCTGCCATCCTCTGGACCCAGCCAGACTCAGCCCGACGTCCACCTACAGATCAGAAGACGATCATACAAACGCGCTGAAGGTGATTGGCTCAGCAGCATGCTTCAGTTGGCGGGGGCCTGATTTGCGCAAACTGTTTTGCGGTCATCTCGATCCGACGTGGACTGCCAAGCTGCTGCAATGCTACCCCGGTCCTCGCTAGTGTTTCCGTACAATAAATACGAGCAAGTGGTGGAAGATTTTCGACTTGGTTTTCTTTTTTCTTCTCCCTCCCCCGACTCCAGCTATATATGCCCCCGCATTCCTCCAAAACGACCCTCCTTTTGCTTGCGGCTCTGCGGCTCTCACAGGCCCATTATATCTGGCCTAATAAACATGACATTCTCGAAGATTCGCTGACCGTCTCGGGTGGGCTGGGCCAGAGCGGGATGATGGCAGAAATCGCAACGTGTGGGGCCGCGCCGTTTGGTGGGCGTCTCGTCGGTAGACAGTCGGCGGCGGAGTGGCTAAGAGTGTGAGTCGAGTGATTTTTCTCTTTCTTTGCCTCTCACAATTACGCAGCGCATACCATGATATGGCTACCCATGACGTGCATACTGGTCTTGGGGGGCTTGACGGGTCGATTGGATTTGAGACGGACCGACCTCAGAACATTGGTGTGTTTATATAACCCTCTGTATCTACAATTCAGCAAATTTCAGGGAGTGCCATGAACACCAGCATGGTATTTTTCGCGACCTTTCAAGGAAAAACATCTTCTGGTGAGCAAAAGCACAGTCCATTCCTAACGCAGTTTATCTTTGTCCAGTATCGGATGTCATGGCTTTGAGGTTAGCCCCGCCTCCATTCGTTTCGTTTTCTCAACTATGGGGTCAAGTGTCGTTCTCGCAATGAAACAGTGTAATGGCCCAAGCATACCTTTTCGTGCCGGCAGGATCGACGCTACTGCCGCTGGTCCTGATACTGTCCCCGAGCCTCAACAGGATCTGGCAACGCATACGACTATGTTTGCCAACCAAGGCTTCAATGTTGAAGAGATGATTGGGCTCGTCGCATGCGGGCATACCGTTGGTGGCATCCACGAGGTGGGTTTATCGTGCGAGTCAGAAGACGAAACTGAGCAAAGTTTCAAGGTTGACTTCCCCGACTCTGTCCCCGCTACTCCGTTTGACCCCAACAACCCGGAAGGTGTGGTCCACTTTGACCAGACTTTCGATGACTTTGATAACCACATGTGGGTGCAATCTCATCGACTGGTTCTTCTTCACCGACATCCCTCAGTGCTACGGAGTGGATCGACGGAACGACCAACAACCTCCTTGCGGTTGGACACAACGCGACGACCAACTCTGATGCGCGCATATTTGCTGCAGACAACAACGTGACCATGAAAGCGTTTGCGAAAGATGCCACCTCGTTCCAGAAGACATGCGGCAATCTTTTTGAACGCATGCTCAACACCGTACCCAAGTCTGTCCAGCTGACCGACGTCATCGACCCTCTCCCAGTCAAGCCTTACCAACTTGCCCTCAACCTGGCAGACGATGGATCGCTCGAGCTTTCTGGCTACATTCGCGTGGGTTGGAATTATTATTATTATTATTATTAGTGATTTACCTTCGTCCAGATCTTCAGCACTGCTCCAGAAGCCATGAACGTCGACCCAGAAAACATGGTGGTGAACCTGAGCTGGAAGGATCACAATGGGAATAGGAACTCGACTTATACCAGCACTTTGACTGCCGGCTGGTCAAACAGCACCAGTCTGTGGGGCTTCGTGCACTTTTTCCCGGTTTACACCAAGCTCGATCCCAACTTCGGCCTGTCAACTATCTTCGTTGACTGGGCATTCAACGCGCAGGAGGCACTGACACACGCTGACAACGGCGGCGCGGGCTTCCCTCTCAACGATGTCGTCTTCTACCAAGACTCCGCCAGCTGCAACACGCTCACCAACACCACAATTGTCGTGAACGTCTGTTGTCCTGATGCTTTGAAGTAAAATGCGCTGACGCAACTTAGATCCGAAACAACCTCGGCCCCGTCTCAGACGCGTTTGTGGACTACTATTACAATGTTAACCAGCAGGGCACCATCGCGCTCAAGACGGTGACCGTCCACACGCCGCTGACGCGCACCGGCAGCTCCGCTTCGGCGCTCTATGATGTCTATACCGCTGTCTTCCCGAGGCCTCCCAGAAACCAACAAGGGCGGACATCGTTCGATGTGACAGCAAATGTTGGCGGCAAGGTCTACACCCAGGTCGCCAATCTGGCCATTCAGAATGGCTGTGGGTTGTAGTGGGTGTTGTAGATTAATATCACTTTTAATTGACTATAATTGTGTCTCTTTTGCTGGAGGCTGTCTGGATGATTTTGAGGCCACAGTGACCACAGTCTGAAATACTCATTGTTCGACAATTGTCTTAGACTTTAGTGTATGTCCTCAGATCGAAAGAAAATGGACCAAGGACAAAACCAAGAAGGCTCAAAAGAGGACGCCAGTACCTGTAGGAAAATGGTGGGTCCACACTCTCATACTCTCATCTAACATTGGAATGAATTCCTGCCAGTGGGCTGTGTACCAACTTCGTGTTTAGCCAACTCATGTCTAACCACCAAGCCGGGTGATTGCCCCTTCATACCACTCGACGACAGTATCGGTGATATTGAAGTCAGCGAGAATGCGGCAAATGTCTGGCGTCGCGCCACGAACACTCTCTACGTCGGTAGTGCCAGGATGAACAGCGATCCAGATGACAACAGGCCCCAAAGGTCCGTCGCAGCCATCCTCCTTCTCGATTGAGAAACGAGCAGTGCTCATAGAAGAGTACTTGATCCCGCGAGCTTTCATCGTCTCTATAATTTTCGGGGCCACATTGTCCCACACATAGCTAAGTGGCACGTTGTAGACACCATGGACAGTCTTGATTGGGAGATGGAAGGACTCGGCGCCAGGCGAAAGAGTAATGAACGGGTTCGTCCCTTTATCGGAGCGCCACATGAGCTCGGGGGGGGGGGCCACGAGAGATTCCGTGGTACCAGAATCTGCGCTCAAATTTGGATATTTCGTGAGGTGAGTCGTTCAAGTCACCAAGCTCAGAGACGTTAAACATAGCTGGAGGAGGCAGCGCTGGGGGTAAGCTCCTTGGTATTTCGCCTATGGCTTGGCGTCTGAGGATATCGACCATGTAGCACGTTATAGCTGGAGACTTACTTAAGAGGTCAAGACAAGATATTTAATAGAGAAACGTACAGCCGAGGCGCTGGGGAGAGCCTCTCACTTGTTCAACAATCATTGCAACGTCTCGCGGAGCATCTCCGATGGGCATAAGCAAGAGCCGCTTCAAGTTACAGGTCCAAACCTTCGCCCATAAAACCCAGTGCAACGAGCTCGGCGTCGGTCAGGTCAATGATTTCTGCGGAGAGGCTTATATCTCGTAGCGTATAGCGACAGAAGTCACTCACTCTTCTTCGAGTAAGCTGGATCCATGAATATGAATACTTAGTGACTATGGATGTAACAGTTAGGAGTTGTTCAAGTTGATCTGTGTGACTCAGGCTCACGAGAGCTGGTTTGGTCAAATTGTCAAGTGGGTTGCCAAATGCATGTTGAGGAGGAAACATTCTGCCTTTGGTGCTTCCGGCAGCTGTGTTAACGTTCTGAAGTCAATTTCGTGTTTCCTTCAACTACTACGGTTAGAGCTGAGTAAGTCTGTCGCGTACGTCACGTGGTTACGATTCGTTTCTTTTCGGGCTTCCCGGGCCGCGGCTAATCGATGCGCACGAACTGCATGTCCCAAAGCTCCCTGCACAAAAACTCCATACCCAACATTCTGCCGCCTCCTCGTCCGACCATGGCGTCACTTAAGAACAGAGCTTGGTTTAGGCTCCGAACCGCAATTGCCCCCCGCGTTCGATAAACGCCCTAAAATATTCGTGAAACCCATCCTTGTCGTACAGATCTGCCGGATTCTCGGGTGTCCCCCATGTCCAGTCCAGCACGACAAGGACGCTCTTGACACCCACCAAAACGGGCTCTACTAACAGGCGGTTCACGTCGGCCCCGGGCTGGTGAAAATGACTCAGGGGGCTATTACATGCATATTGGATGATGAGTTCAAGCGACGTGAGTTTGTGCAAAGGGCGGGTGCGTCGAACGATAGCGCAAAATTCCGCCAGGGGGTTGAACACGAGTTTTTCGTCGTCGTCCCCGTCGTCCTCGATTCGGCAGTTAAGAGTGAGGGTAGCAAGCTGAGAAGCGTGATTCAAATGGATGTTGGAATCTATGTCCGAGGTCAGCAAGGACCAAGCCAAGTACAATCAGTATTTACAGTTGCTCATACGATGGGCGTTGATGTTGAGTTCTTGTATATTCACGGCGGCATCGAGGATTGTTTGACACTCAGATTCGCGGTTGTTCAAAGCAAGGCCAAGTACTTGTATAGCGGAAAAGTTTATTGTGGTCTGTAACCACGACCAAAGGCCGTTAGGGACATTTTGACCTAGGTGGAGGGCGGAAATGCCACGGCGCACAACTTGCAGGTCCGAGTTTGTGTTATAATTCGTGAGCATTGAGTCCTTTTGAAACATCGCGATGAAGCTCATGCTCTGCAAATTCGGCCCCAGAGAGTTGAGCACCGAGAGTAGCGTCCCTATCGCGACGAAGCCCAGGCCAATTACTGAGATGACGCGCAAAGTGGGTAGACCAATCGCCGTCTTGACAATTTCCTGCGTATCTGTGTCTGATGCCTCCCAGAGCAGGCCCTCCCAGCTGAGATGCAGTGCAGTCAGGTTTGTGAGGGACTGGAGAATAGTGGGCGGCAATAGCGAAAACTCCGGGTCCAAGCCCAACGAGAAAACGCGAACGTGGTTGGCAAGCCGGTGGGGAGATTGCGATAAAATAGAACACATATGTCGCTGTTCTTCCACAGGCAGCCAACGGAAGTGCAATTCAGAGAACAATTGCCGTTGGCTGGGGTCGAGAAAGCGATGAGCCACTAATGATGTTGAGCAAAGTGTTTGCTTATCGCAGAACTGTAGTATCTGCTCAAGAACTTCAGGCGGAATGAACAACATGGGCGAAACGTTGGCGAAACGGTTTGGCTGACTTACCCGTTACATAATCAAACCATGTGAGCGAAAAAGATGCAACAGCGCCATGGATTCAATGTTTATAGACTTCAGTCTCAAAACGGCCACACATCGCCAGCTTTACCACCTAGCCCTAAAATTTTGTATTGACTCCCCATGCCCTTCTCGTCTACTAATCGATCCGCCGTCGACCGCAATATTAATGCTTCTTTCTCTTCTGGTGTTTGGCATTTCCTTGAGAGGGCTTCCACACGCATGTTAAGCCCCATATCTGTCAAAAATCGGCTTTGTGGTAGAGGTCCATGGACCGGCACTGGAAGATGGTCAGCGGGAGTCTAGGAAGACGCGACTCCGCGTACCGATGTCCGCAACCGCCTCGGTCAAGTGGGCAAAGTCAACGTTTGCCGTTAAATCACAATTGCCAGGTTCGTTGAATGGATCAACTATAGCGTGGTTTTTGAATGCCTAGAGAGAGATCAGCAATGATATAACAGAGGAAGGAAGCCTGATGCACGCGAAAAGAGTTGGATGAGGCTTGAGCATTTCCATAGTCGATGATCAAGCCACATCCTTTTGCTATTCTCTCTGGCGGGGGGCCAGCGATCAAGCTGCCAATTGAGCGCATCGTTCTGAACCCAGTCGGTGATACTTCTAACCGACTGCCAACAGGGAGTGTCGCAAAGCGAGGGGAAGAATGACCAAGGAGAGTCGAAGCGGCGGTAGGATTGGGGGAAAGAACGTATTGGAAGGTGTTTGCATCCGAAAGGGCTACAAGTATCTCCTGCCATCCTTGCTCGGTCCTCTATTGGAAGTTCAAACAAAGCAGACAAAACACAGACAACCCACCTCAATCAAATGAACAGGTAACGCGTCGAAAAACTCATGTGCGACCACGAGAGTGAAGACATCTTCACGTTGTTCTATTTGCTCGACGGAGTCATGCCATTCGAGACGCGATCCAAGCTGCATTGTCGCAGCTTCCAGCCGAGAGGCTTGTAGATCACGTAGTGTGGGGCTTGTTTCGACCAAATTGATGGACTGGAGCGCGTTTTGGCCACTTTTGAACTGGGCCACAACCTATTTAGTATCGTTAGAGATAGAATCATGCCCAGAAAGCAGCTGACACACCCTTAGAATATCGTGCATCAACATACCACGGCCAGGACCAAGCTCAACAATCCGCAAAGGCAGCTGCTTTTCCCTCTGCAACCACTGATATACCAGCCAGACTCCAACAATCTACCGCCGGATCTACCGCGTTTGTCAATCCCAAACCGCGCTACTGGCCAAAAATACACACCTCCCCGAAAACTGAGCTGAGTTCGGGGCTCGTCACAAAGTCGCCCTTCGTGCCAAATATGCTGTTTTGCGGGCTCATGTAGTAGCCGTAAGTCGGATGTGAGAGGCATAGCTGCATGTAGGTCGCCAGAGGAATTGGTCCCGTTGCGCGAATGCCGTCTGCGATGATTTTTTGGAGTGGAGTTGAAATAATGGGTTTGGGGGCCATTGTGGTGTTAGTTCGACCAAACGGCCTCTGGCTGAGGGCATGGCGGAGTGGCCTGGTAGACCGGAGCATTCTAGCCAGCCAGAAACTTGCAAAGAATTCGAGAAAGGCAGCGAAAACGCGTGATCATCACATCACGGCCTCGTGGGATTACATCATCCTCGTCTTCTCAACTGTCATCGTGTTGGGTCCACAATGGACCCCTGTTCATCGTTACTTCCACAATGAGCGAAGCAAATACCACAGATATACGAGCCCTTCTCTCTCAGGTGGCGCCACCAAAAGCTCTAGGACGCAATCACGCAGTCTCTTTCACCAGTCGTTCCAATGAACGCATATTGACCAACGAAGATCGATATTTCGCAGAAGACTGGGACCTGGCAAACGGCGTTTGGAAACTGGCATTTGTGCTCGATGGTGCGCTTAGAACCGAAGCCTCTACAAGTGCTAAATCATTCCGCAGGTCATGGTGGAACTGCAACAGTTGACTTTGTGCTTGAGAATCTGCCTTCGGTGCTCAAGGCGGCTCTGGTCTCTGGTATAGATTCGTCAACGCTTACCCTCGACGATGCGGCTGTGGCCAGAATCATGTCTGAAGCCCTTCTCAGCCTCCAAGATCAACTCACGAACGAGTTTCTTTCGCTCATCCCGACAAAACCTGATGACCTTGCCGCTTTCGATGCTAAGGCTACCTTCCAAGACAGAACAGGAAAGCCAGGTGTAATCCTCCGGCGTGTCATGTCGGGCACAACTGCTTCTGTTGCTCTGATAGACCCCACGAACCGTGTTCATATCGCTGGTGTTGGGGATTCTGATGCCTGTCTGTTTGTGTTCAATGTTCTCCTCGATTCTCCTCTCACTACTAGCTAGTCCTTTGCTTTACCTCGAGCGCCGATGAAACAGACTGGGACTGTTGCAGTATGGGTTTCGCTCACCGATGCTCCGACCCAATGGAAGCGGCGCGTATATTGGGAGAGCACCCCGGAGAACCAGACTGCATAAGTCAAACCGGAGTGCCGAGACTCCTTGGTTGGCATGTTCTCAGTCGAGGTACGTATCAGAATATTCTTCGGCCCTGATTTAAATAAGTTTTCCTAGCAATGGGCAACATTTATTTCAACCTTCCTATTGACATCCTGCGAATCCTCGACGTCGGCCTCGGAGAAGAAAAGCCGTTCAACGAGGCCTTTCTCCGTCTATTCAAGACCCCGCCCTACCTCTCTCACATTCCCCAAGTTTCTCATGAAAGTCGTCCGACACAGAAGTTCCTCATCCTCGCATCAGACGGACTGGGCCATTTGATGCAGCGGAGGCTTACTGGGGCCGATTCGGTTGTCTTGGGTCGGATTTGTGCAAATGCGGTGGCTCGCGCCGAGGCGGCTGGCCAAAATCTCGCTGAAGCGGTTCTTTGGGAGGCGATGGGTGGTGACGGCCCAGACAATTTGTGTCTGTCTGCGATAAACGGCACAGCGAAAGGCCGCGTAGATGACACCACGGTCGTGGTCATACCGCTGTGAATATAACTAGTAGTTTTTTTTGGTGGCAACTCGGACTCGCGACTGGCATTGAACAAGGTGCATTCACACAACAAACTACAGTAAATATGGCTGAAATCGAAGATCGGGGTTCGACTCCAACGGTCGAACGCAGATTCTCAATCTATTAATCAGTAAGCTGATCGCGGGGCCGGGGGTATGCCTTCGTTCGTCGCTCACGTCGATTCTCAATCCAAACTTGGGTCGTCCAAGGGTCAGAGTACCGATTCTCGCTGGAACTTTTTGTCGATGCTTCTGACGGTCGGCTGCCGATTCTCGATTGTAGGAGCGTTGCAAGTGTTGACGGTCGACCAGACCTTCACAGTAGACTCTCGCTGTTTTCACAGTGCTAGAGATTGTCAGAAATTACTCCTGCATCAGCGCTTCAAGCTTGAGTGGGATTGCAATTGCTATTAATAAGTACTAGGCCATTTGGGCTGATTATTATTATTATTAGCAAGGACTGGTCAAAAGTTCTGAGGACCTCAGCTAAACTTGAAAGACACTGAAGCTCCGCTATGCTTTGGAGAATTACCTAGTATCCTAGTACATATTATAAAATCATGATGTTACTACACATGTCCGCTACAACATTCTAATGCTCATTGGGTCCTTGCCATCTACTAGTCGCTGATGAACCACATTACTGGTGAAAGAAGACCACTGTTAAGTGTGTCAGCATTCAAGTTGAGAGTTATCTAGCACGAAGGACTAACCCCATTGCCGAGAAAGACCGCTGCTCGTTTGGCGATCTCCATGTCCACCGCCATCCCCACATCCAGCTGTTCATTATTCAGCCATAGATCGTGAGTGGTAACGACTGTTGGCCAGCCGTTATGTCGCAATGCCGCAACGAGGTTGTCCAGGAACTCGCCGGACTCGTTGGTGAGTAGGTATAGAATATCGAGGTTCTTCCTCCCCCAATCCTGCTTGACCTGCTGAGCTCGCAGCAAGGTTTCGTCTACATTTGGGAGACACATCACGAATGCCTTCTCTTCTCTATGAGGATCCTTTGGGCCTGGTAGTCGGTGGTTGGCGACGTCAGGGAGCATCGGTAATTGTGACCAGCCGTAATGGCCCGAACCACTACTCGCAAGGAAACGACAATGCTCAATGTAGTCTCCGCGCCGAAGATGGATGGCGAGCATGCGCTTGAACGGATCGTTCGACACAGCTGGTCGGCCCCTGCCCGTTTTCCCGTGGAAAACGCCCCTGCGAAGATTGCCCTCCACGGCTGATGCCACAATTTCCGATGGGCGTAACAGGGTGCTCACAGGAGACGTCGAGAATGCCTCCCAGAGCTCCAAAACCCGTTGGCCGCCCCAGATCCGAAGATCGAAAATTTGAGGAAACGGGTCGACTTGTAGCGACGTATGAATAACCTCGATGCAATTTTCCGTTGCCTCCAGCAATATCTTGTTCCATGTATCGAAAATGAGTTGACCGGAAGCATGGTCAACCCCGCCTGGGATGTTGGGCTTCACATCCTCGACATTGATGAGGCGGCGGGATGAAGAGGGGCAAACGGTTCCCCACCATGCTTCAGAAATTGCTCGAGGTGGGTTGGGTCCGGAAGGATGACTCTGAGTCGGATGCCACGAGCCACCAACAAGTGGACCAGCAAGAAGCGCGCTCATTGGCGTTCGAGCGCCAGACTCTGGAGCGGGAGGGAAAGGGTAATGCTCTGGGGCCCACCAGTAGTCCGCAAAAACATATGCGCGATTAGAGACATAAGCCAGATGAGCATTCATTAATCTGACAACTGGTGAGCACAAGAGAGCATCAAAGACAGCCCACGCACCGTTCGTTCAGGCAGTTATTCCATCCCAAAAAGTTGGCTTGTACCGAAAACTTCACATAACGGCCGTTCTGGCCTTCGGGGAAAGGCAGGTCGAGGTTGTGTTGTGGTAGACGCTCGACTTTGCGTCGGAGTTGATAGTATGCCGGAGCAATTGAAATACCCAGCAATTTGTAGCCTCTTGTGCGGGTTGTTGGGTGTGAGACGAGCAAGAGAAAGACCACCGAAAGGATGATGAGGAAAAGAAAGGCTCGGCGGATTTTGTATGAAGTTGGGGTGAACGACGACGACCATCGACCGCTCATTCGAGCTCAATTTAAGGCAATATTTGCCTGAAGATGTCGAAGACAGAAACGCGGCGACCACGAATCTGTATAGTATTTCTGTGCATGCCATAAGATGTGCAAAAGGAAACTGACCCGAGGTGAAGATTGGCCGATTGGCATGCCGATGAGAGGGAAAAGGTTGGAACGCCGAATGTCTGTGGAGTGTTACTTATAGAAACATGACATCCATGAATCTGTGGTGATTCAGAGCCTTGGGGTACAGTTATTGGGTGAGTGCTGGGGCCTCAAACGGCCCTGCCTATACCATCAAGCTCGAGCGAACTGAAGTTGTTGAAGAGCATGGGGCAGTGCCAATGCTGTGCCAGCTGCTGATTCAGATCCGCGTCGCGGCGCTCATGAAAGTCATCCAATGGATGTTGAGGACGTTGAGAAGAACTTGGTTTCTTTTTCTAAACGACAACGTGAGAGTGTCAGCAAATGTAAATCGTCACACAGTTCTTTGAGAGACGGGTGGTGCCCAGACAATCTGTGTCTGTCTGCGATAAACGGCCCAGCAAAAGGCCGCGTAGATGATACCACAGTCGTGGCCATACCGCTGTGAATATAACTGTTTTTTGGCTAAAACTCAGACTCGCAACTGGCGTTGAACAAGGTGCATTCACACAACAAACTACAACAATCTACAGTAAATATGGCTGAAATTGATTCGATTCTCCTCCAACGGTCGAAAGCCGATTCTCAATCGGAAGCAATAACAAGTCTTGACGGTCGAGTGAGCTGATCGCGGGGCGGGGGTTGTGCCTTCGTTCGTCGCTCGTGTCGATTCTCAATCCAAACTTGCGTCGTCCGAGGGTCGGAGTACCGATTCTCGCTTGTTGACGAGGGCTTCTGACGGTCGACTGCCGATTCTCAATCGGAGGAGTGTTGTCAAGTGTTGACGGTCGGCCAGCGATTCTCAATCAACAACTTGAACTGTTTTCGTCAGTTGGAGCATTAAGCGGTATGAAGTTACAGCGCACCTTGTGGGAGTGCTCATCTTCTCTGCCCAAATCCCAGAACGAAGTGGGCAAGATGACCCTACAACACCCGAAAGAAGAGGAGAAGAAAGAATCAAAAGTTCGGATGATCGCAGCTGGTGTTGGAGGGTCGCAATCGCGGGACATGGCGAATCACCGTTAAAAACGGCGATGTGTCGGTGGTCAGAAAGCAGGGCGTCCCCCGCAGTCTTTCACCGTTGTCTTCGTCCGTTGCTCCTCTCAGCTGGAATTCCGTCCGTTATTCCATACTTTCTGTTGCTGCAAGTCAGCGCAGGCTATGAATGAAAAGAACAGAAGCATACATCGAAGACGAGGATGTTGCAGTTGCCGGTGCCAGATTCGGCGCCTCTGCTTCACGTAACGCGCAAATGGAATCTCCACAAAAAAAAATCAAAAACGATTCAAATCTCAAATAGTCAACCTACCACTTGGTGATGAACGTAAAAGACCACCGCAGGGGCGAGGATAAGCTAAGACATCAAACAATGAGATGCGGAAAGATCCCAATACAGCGGCAACTCACAAACTGATGACCATAGCCCAAGCTCCAATAGAACTTCAAAGCCGCTCGCAAGGTATCGTAACACAGACGGACAAGCCCCTCTAGATCGTGTACTTGTTGAATTCTGAATTTGCCAACTTCTTCATCCAGAATTGGGCCGATTTGCGCTCGCAGTTCGAAAAACCCGACTCCCTGGTTCAGCAGCTGCTCCACAATGGGATGCATTTCAAAAATTGTGGCCGAGCAATGCGCCCAAGTGCGATCGGCGAGGAGGGCTGCATATATAAAAGCACAGAAGATCGTCCATCGGAGGAGGGGGATGTCGGTGTGGTATATGCGTAGCCTGCGAGCAAATGGCAGAAGGGAAGGCACAAGATTTATCAGATCAAAGGACAAGAAGATTCCGTGGATAATTCCAGGAAGGATTGCTACCTATTCAAAGTGTTAACGGGAGCGGACTGGAACGACAATCACAAACATTGGCAGCCGCACTCTCAGGGTAGACTTCAGCGGTATATTCGATAATGTGCTGCACGCCTTGACGTATCTGCATCACAGTTGGAGGGCTGAAGGATGCAGAGGGGAGGGAATATCGATAGTATACCCACAGTGTTTGCCGTACAACAGGAAAACAAAGAATTATGCACCATGGAGTCAAACAGCCCATCACTCCGGCTTCAATGAGCCCAATCGAGATACGATGGGCAATAAGGGAGGCCAAGCATTGGTAGACCGAAAAGAAGAAAAGTATCCACCCAGCGTGACTGGCAAAAGCAAGCATTATGGCGTAGAAGAAGTCGGCGCTGTTATCTCCAATGTATTTGGAGCTGGAGGCAGACAACGATGCAAGACTATCTGCTATGTGCGTGAACAGCCGCGCGACATTCTCGAAATTGAGCAGCAACTGCGGCGGAAGGAAGACTGGGCAGTCATCGATGGGGAAATGTTTGAGAACCGCCAGAGCAGTGAAGACTGCGATTGAGCTCCACCAACGACGCGCACTATTGCGGACACTTTGCCCAAGACAAGCACCGAGTACCACACAAATAAAGGTGAGGTTGACACAGGCGACGGAAGCAGTCCACGAGTCAGGATTATAGAGGAGACACGGAGTTGGGACGAGGTAAAGGGAATCAGTCCCAGTAGGAATCTCGACAACGTCCACCGAAGTTGTGAGTGGCGTGTTCTCATTCACGGCAACAAGTGACTGGTTGCTGGAGAAGACACTATGGAGTATCTTTGCGGCAAAGAAGAGGGCTTGAAGACGGGCAACAGCAGCAACGGAGGGAAAGTGGAGCGCAATTGGATTCGAGGGCATGGTGGGCATGAACGAAGGTCAAATCGTGACTGTGACATCCATTGCGATTCATTCGCTCTTCCGCGTTCACGTGCAATTATCTCAGCAACCTTCCCCTTCCACCACCTTGACAAAACCCTTCAGTACGTCTACCTCGCCATGTTTGTGAGAAGCATGTGTTGACTGGAAATATCACTTACAGTCCCTTCCCGTAGAATCAATCTCGACAATTATGTTCTTGGGCCTTTTCCTTCGCCGCCTTGTTCTGATGGCTATATCTCTTCTCCGGGCCATGCCGCCAGTGTTATATCTCGCATTGGATGCAGCGTTGGACCACTCAACACAGTCGACCATCGGCGGGTCACAGCCTTGTGTTTGGGTCGTCGATTCCTGCCTAGTAGCGATCGACTTTCCCAACACGCCATCCCCCCCCCGCCCGCCACGACCCGTCAAATTTCTCGCCGCAGCCCAACAGTCTCTCGCCGGCCCCGTTCACCTATTCCCCCCATTCTCCGTTGTTTGCAGTACGCCGAAATTACCCCACTCAACCTGCCGCCCACGCCTAACGTGGAAGCTCGTGCCCCATTATGGGTGTACATCCTGCAAGACCTGGCTCCATCTCGTATTCCGCCCCATCTCCAATTTCAAGGCCGGGTATTCCCCACGCTCCTTGTCGTTGCGACAGTCGACGACTTTGACACAGCTGACGAGCTGCTGTGGGAAATCATCGAGGAAGGGTTGGTTGGCATGGGGAGACAACTTGCGAGGGGCGACACACAGCGCGTGCAAGAATGGGTATCTGCCTGGAGAGTCACAATCCTCGTTATAGCTGGCGACTTTGCCCAACTCGTGTCCGCCAACATACTTGTGTCTACGTTGACATCCTTGCTTATCGCAGCTATGCTGAAGATTGTGTTGCAACAAATACGAATTTGGAAACTCGAGACACAGCAGAGAAGTGCCACAGCTGACGACATGGCATGCATCGGGAGGGAGGTTCAAATTGCTGGGGAAGGAGACGATATTGAAGGAATTGATGGCCAAGGCGCTGAACCTGCGAATGAGGAAGAAAACAAGAAATGTGTTGCCGCGGGTCGCAGTGTGACCTGGTTGCGTCGGCCGAAAATCATGGCGCTTGTGCTGCCTTGGCCACCGAATTATTTTCCAAGCAGTAACTCCCTAGCATCCATCATCGTACATCCGACTCCAACTCCTGCTCCGCGATTTGAAGACCGTGATGAAGAAGATGTTCAGGTAGATAATGACGAAGCAAGGCGCAAGGACAAAGGCAAAGGGAAGGCAAAAGAGGAGGATTTTGAACCGGATGAGGAGGCCGAGGAGTTGGCGTCTTTGGAGTTTGACGAAAGAGAAATGGAGATGGCGGTGCGCCAAAGCAGACTTGGGCCTCGACTGGATGAAAACGGTGCTGGCCCTTCCCGAATATATGATCCCGTCAGCGATGGCCCCAGCTCTCAAGCAGTCCAAATAGAGAGCGAGGGGAGAGGTTTGGAGGGAAGAGAAGACGTCAGTGACGACGACACAAGCTTTGCGTTGCCGAATCGGGCCATAACGTGGCTTCGTAGGCCGAGAATTGCGAGATTTATCATGTCGCTCTCGTCTCCCTGGTCTCCTCAAAGCCCCTTGCCAGGTAACGATTCTCTTGTCGGCCACCCAACCCCGACGCCAGCCCCACGACACGGCGGCTATGACGAGCAGGGTCGTTACCCTCCTGCATCACTCCAAACGCCCCGTCTCCTTATTGCCCCACCGCCTTCCCCAGCGACGCCAGCGTTGGTCATCAAGCCCGAGTTGATGGCGGATGCCGAGCCTGGTAATGTCCGCGACAGACTCTTCCAGCCGCAACGGCTCCTAGAGTTCGTCTTTTATGGGAGGTGGCGGGCCAAGAAAGTCACGTTGACAAGAACGCCCGTCATGCCTCGATTGCCAGATGAAGGAGAACACAAGGACTCGGAGTAGTGGGTGCTGATGAGAGAGTGACCGAGTATGTACTGTTTGTTGGTTCGTGGAAGAAGATAAAGTTGTGCACGTGATCAACACGCTACTGTTCATCCAAAGCGAATCGCGTTACAGATGATTGTTCGCTGGAACTACTACTAGTAGTCCCAGCGACCTCCTCCAAGCCGAGGGATGGGCGAGTACTGCTGACTTGCGCAAGTACAATTTGGTCACTCCAAGGCTAGGGTTTGTGCCCGAATACAATGGAAGAGGTATCTGAGCAATATCTGGTGCGCAATGGTGGCTTTTACTTATCAAACATTCCAGAGGATCCCGATGTTAAGGTATTTATGTAATTGCTCACAGACGAAAAGATCTTGGCTGTGGGTCATTGGCCCATACGCTGCGCCGAAATACCGCCAGCCTGGCCTCATCGACGATACTCGTCTCCCCTACTATAAGCATGTGACAAGTTTTTCTTAACGGCTTTCGGGTAGGTATACGAGTCGACGGCCAAAAGCTCTCTCCGAATATGTCTTCCAGGCAGACAAAGCCGCTCTCTATGGCGGTCCGTTTGTAAAATAAATAAACCTCAATAATATGAATCAAAATCTCATCTGTAAATAAGTCAACTCCCATCTCAAGAAGTTGAGAGGCTACCTTGAAATATTTGTGGTCCATTGTGAAATATGGGTAGTTGGGCTAAGCCATTCGTTTTCAGCGAGAAGGGGTTTGCACGTGATCCGGCCCGGGCCCCGACCGAGGCCAATAGTGCTCGGAACTTGGCAGACTTCCCTTTCTGGCCACATTTAGCTTAAATTAATTGTTCAAAATGTATGAACTAGACATTTTCTACTACTATAAGATGAGTGGTAAGTGTAGGTGTTTAACACCAGTCAGACCACCATTAAGATCTACGCAGTCGTGCCCTTCTCCGACAAGCCTGATAACCCAGCTTGTCCTTTCTTCCCAACAGAACGTTCTGCGCAACCAGCTTGTGACTCTCCAAATCGACAAGCTCCTGGAAGCCCAAGGTGATGAGGTCAGGGCAGTCAACACTGGTGATCATTATGTTCCCTGCGCGAGAGCACCAGCATGGGCCCCGGCCGGTCGGTTCGAACGCACCACCACCAGACTTGCTTGCAACATAGTCTTCTCCTCTAGCCATTTTTATGGGTGGTGCAAATCGTGCGATGACACCACAACCAGGACTGAGACTTCGAGGACGAATATGGGAGTCACGAGGAGGAGATGGCGCTGGGGGCCTTTGTAACTGGGCGGATGTAGCATAAGGAGACGAAGCAGCAACAGCACTAAGACCACAGGATGTGCGGCAGCAGCAGGATGATTTGTTGGATGAAGTGGATGTGGTGCTGATGCTGACGCGGGTTTCCCAACTCCGCATATCCGCCATAGTCCGTTGGCCAGTCACGACGGTCGCATTCAACAAGCGCTGGAGCTGGTAATACAGACGCTGATCTTGGAGGCAAAGGTGGTGGATATCTTTCTCGCTCCCGCTCCCTTCCGCGTGCTCTTTCTCATTCGCTTGCTGAAACCGGGATGTATCGGTCACCACCAGGTAAGTAGTGGTCACAGTCTTGTTCCACAGAAGATGGCAATGGCGGGTAACGTTCTCCACCAGTGTGACGATCGTTTGCATATCTGTCGTACTGTCGCGTGGCGGAGTTGGCCTCGCAGGCTCTCGCGTGGCTCAGAACGGTCGCGAGAGTCAGCGGTCGTCGTATCGTCCATTGCTCAAAAAAGGTGTTGATAAATGTGCTTCCAATGAGCGGATTGAGGCCGGAAGAAGTTGGAGTTGGGGCAGCTAAGGCACTGAAAGCCGTTAGAGGAGCCGATGCATTTTGAGGTTGTGCTTAGATGCGGGCTTGAGATTCGTTTGTGGAGCTCCCTATATGCTCTCGAAGACTTGTTGTCGGACCAACATAGGCTTGGCCTTGCACGTGTGCATTCGCGGCAACTGGAGCAGACCCAGAGCTCGTATGTAGTAGCAAGAGAGTGTTGAGGATTGCGACTGCTGGCAGAAGGCGGGCCCGCACATCTGGTGGACGGCGATCTACCCCAGTGCTAGTTTGACCATTGGTATAACTTGTTGTCTGAGCGGGGCGGTCCCAAGAAGCGTGTGAAGCCGTGGGAGTCGTTTCGCTGGCAGTTTATCAAGTAAGACCCTGGTTGCCGCAAGCACATCTTTTTGACTGCGAAAACGTTGTCAGCAACGAAAGCAAGAGCCTAGTAGCTTCAGACTCACCCATTTGTGGCCCCCCCATCAGTACCTTCCTCTCCCGTCCTCGAGCCCTCCGTTCCTTTTCAGTTCCCTCTCGTTTCCTGCATGAAGGCGCCTGCCGTGTTGGTGGGAAGAGGAGCAGACTCGGACGCCAGCGTGGCGTTTCCCACGGGCTCGGGCAGGCCGGTCCGAACGCGGAGGCCTTTGCCACGACCCACCTGGCATGTGCACGACACAGGGCTGGAGGTTAGGGGGAAATGGTTGGCGGTTGGAAGGAGGTAGAGGGTGGGGGTATTCGGGCGAGAAGGTCGCAAGGAATGCGGGCGGCGCGTGCAAGTGCATGATTGCTCGCAATCGTCCTCCTGCAAAGTTGGAGGTGGGTGTGCCGATCCAGAATGTGGTCAGAAAGGCAAGTTCCGAGCACGATCGGCCTGGGCCCGGCCCGGCCAGAGTCACGTGCGGTCACGTGCAGACCCTTCTCGCGGAAAACAAACTGCTCACACATTATTCCACAATAGACCAAAAACAGTTCACGGTAGCCTCTCAACTTCTTGAGATGGGAACTGACTTATTTCCAGGTGAGATTTCCATTTATATTTTGAGATTTATTTATTTTACAAACGGACCGCCATAGCTCTCGTCCCACCCCTCTCATCACCTCCTCAATCCCGCCGGGAAATCAGCAACACTTTTGTGAAAGCGACCATAACTTTCAATTGCTGGATCATCAAAATTTCCTGCCACATTCATCGCAGGCAACCCAACGACCGCACTCTCGCCATCTGAATCGTCTGACTGCTCTTCGTTTGACCACTATTCAGTCATGACAGCT